TCCAGCAGAATAAAATTATTTTACAAGAAATCTTAACCCAGAACATGGAAGATTTTTTATAAACCAAATACACTGTTTAAACTAGTATGAAATAACCATACTTTTTCTTTTTGCATAATCCCAGTTTATTTTACATCCTTGTTTGCCTTTAATTCAGCAGAATAACATTCTTTTACAAGAAATCTTAACCTAGAACATGAAAGGTTTTTTTACAAACCAAAGACACTGATTAAACTAATATGAAATAAGAACATACTTTTTTGAGTAGTTCTACTTCATTCCACTTCCTTGTTTATCTTTAATCTGGCAGAACAAAATTATATTATTACCTACATATACAATCAATTATCTGGATAATATTTTTTAATAAATCCAACGATTCGTACATCCTTGTTGTCAAAATAAAATATAATTACCAAAAAATCCTGAATATGCAAGATTTGTTTAAACCAAAGACACTTACATTAACATAATCGACATGAGCTATATTTTTCATAATTGTCAAAGCATAATTTTAGCTATTTGTGTATTTAATACTCAACGCGTTTGTGGAAAAAGCCTTGGCATTCCAATTAACAGATCCGGGGGAAAAATCCATCTATTTTGTTTATTACTTCTCAAGACATCTGGTCTTTTCAGCAAATATTGACATATCAATATTTTTATAGTAAAACGTTAAAATTCATTTTCAAATATTGAAAAGAAAAAAAACCCAAGCCAACAACTGCTGATTAGATTTAAACCATTCACACCATCTGACCTCAAAAATAGCATAATTTAGCCTTTAAATTTGTAAAAGGACCTCGAAACGATGTCCAAGATATGTCAACGAGAAACGTATGTTACATTAATGCGAAATGAACCAAATTTTAACTATAACAAATGTCATTTACCCTCAAAAAGTTATATCTTGTTCAGATCTCCTCCAAAAATGTAAACTACAAAAAAAAATATTTAACTACAGACAAGAGCTCTGCGAAAGATTAGATATGGCATCATCGTTGATCCTCTTGTAAGAAAATATGGGGTAAAGTCTCATAGTGTCACACCTTGGCTTCTTATAAATTTTTTTTCTTAAAATTTCATATTGTAAGATATGTTTATTAATATAATACGTTTTTGCAAATATGAATGTTAATTTTCTGGAATGAAATTCTTTTATTTGAGTTTGCTATTTGCACTGAAAAGGTTGTAATTTCTCGACCAAATTTATAGTTTTAGGGTTTATTTATTTATTTATTTTTTTTTAATCCTACTGTTTTCCTCGAAGAACATTAGAAAGTATCGCATGGTCAAGGCTGTCATAGTGGTACACAAGATTTCAAAAAAAATTGAATAGGAAAATATATACTGACCTCAGGACAATGGGTTGTAAGACACGTCTGGCGCTTTCGCTCAAGGAAAAACAAAACAAAAAACCCAAAACACGACACGTTATCAAGTCATTTTAATCACGGATGAACGTGCAACTCAAAAACTGATTAAATATCGAAAACCATAAGACTGGAAGTCACTTGGTACTAGACAGGCAGTTGGTCCGATCTGGAGGAGAGGATTTTCGTTTTATTCAGAAGGTGACCTCGTTAAACGTTGGCACCGACGTCGACTGAATGCATGACAACGAAGAGTGCCATTACCAGAACTGGTTGGTATTCGACTGGGTTCGATCCTGGAGCCACGGCGCTGCGCTCGTGAGTCGGCCGCCCCCCTCGTGTCGAATCCCCTCCAGAACTGGAATTGATCGCCCCAGACCATCCAACACCAATGCCGAATGCGGTAGAGTTCGACAACCGGCATCTCTGTGAAATCTACTATCCTCGCGGTTTTTCAGAGCGTCTATTTTTTTTAAATAAAAAAAGGAAAAAATAAAATAAGAGGGATTTATTGCTTTAATCAGGTAACGTTTGCCCTAATCAGTTTTTTCAATAATTATGTAATTAATTATTTTAAACAAAACAACTGACACATGTACATCTTTCCGCGATAGAGAGTAAGGGCAATACTCAAAAGATTTTTCTTTAGATAGCCAAAAAAAAGAGCAAATCTTGAGAAATAAAAAAAACGTTTTATTCACAAAGCACACCTCTGTTTAAACAATATAAAAATTTCAACTGGATCTGTTGATACCTTATTAATTACACAAAAATATAAATCAAGCATAAACTTATCGGTCTGAAAATTTTTAAATTTAAACGTTTCTTTATTTGAAAATTTAAAAAACTTAAAAATTTAAAAACTAGCTTTATGGATAAAAGATCAATTCTATGTCAATATATATAATGACTATAACTAATGCAAACAAATACTTATATATAGAAAAATTGATATTCACCTAGGCAGAAATTTTTTTTTTAAATTAGAATCACCCAAAAAAGTTTTTTTAATTACCATATGAATAAATAAGTAAACCTGCAGGGAAAAACCGTACGGAGATATTGTTTAGGTAAATTCAAAAAGGTTTTAGTTTTTTAGTGAAAATCTTCTCAAACTAAAAACTTTTTGTATTTACTAAGTATGTAGATAAACAGATTCATAGTGTACCCAAAGGGGGCTTATTACTTCAATCAGGCGACATTTGTTCAAAAGATTGTTAAAAAAAAAGGAGCAAAACTTGAGAAATAAGGCGATGTAAAATTCAGATACAAAATACACCTCAGTATAATAATACAAAGAAATTTTCATCTGGGAATCTTTTGGATCTGTTGATAACTAATTAATTACTCAAAAATAAAAATCAAGCTAAACTTATCGGTCTGCAAACTTTTAAGTTTGAACTTTTTTGCTTTGAAATTTATACAACTTGAAAAAAATCAATTTCTATGTCAATATGTGTAATGGGTTCATCCATCCCAAACAACATTTTACATAGAGAACTTGTTATCAACCTAGGCAGAAAATTTAAATAGTTTTTATTTTATTTATTTTTTATGTTAAAAATAAATAAATAAACCTCCAGGGAGAAACAGTATGGTATTATTGCTGATTCATAGTGTACCAACAAAGACTGATTACTTCAATCAGGCAACATTTGTCCAAATAAATGGTAAAAAAGGAGCAAAACTTGAAAAATAAGGCAAAGTAAAGTTCAGACACAAAACACTTCAGTTTAAACAATATAAAACATTTTTGTTCAGATATGTTGATAGCTTATTAATTGCTTAAAAATAAAAATTAAGCATAAACTTATTGGCCTACAAACCTTTAAATTTGATTTTTTTTTAAACAACTTCTGTTATGGAGAAGATCAATTTCTATGTCAATATGAACACAAATACCTATTAACTTTGGCAAACATAAAATAAAATAATAATGCAAGATGGAATGTCTGTAGAGATAGTATGAGAGAAATTGTTGTTGTACATAATGGCCAACTGAGGAACTTGAGAGAAAAGAACTTGTAATTCTCTCTAGATTGCGAATAGGTCACATCAGGCTAATCCATAATAAGCTTTTAATAGGAAACAATCTTCCAAGTTGTCCTCAATGTATGCGAAGTAGAGAACGTATCATTCTGACAATAAAAAATATTTTGGTCGACTGACACACTTTGCAACCCTTTAGGCAAAGGCTCAACCTTTCGAGTGATTTACAGGAGTTACTGGGTCCCCATTGTTCCTTTCAAAGAGCACTTTTCAGCTTTCTCAAATTTACTAGGATTTTATAATGAGATTTAGGTCTTTTTCCAAATTGTTATACCATTGAATGTTTGCCTGCTAATGTTTGAATGAGAGTTGTGCGTCCAGGATTCCTTTCTTTTTTCAGAAATTTTTGAGGCTGCCGGAGAGGAAAAATGAAATGGAAGAAAATACAATTGTGGGGAATAAACTGCAATGCCCAAAAATCGCGATTTAAATAAGAAATTTAGCTCCTCAAAAAAATAAATAAAGAAGTGTTATTGTGTTTTTGTTTCTTATTATTGTTAAGTAGCATTAGTTTATATATCATATTTGAATGGAAGAATAAAACGATAAGGATGAGCCTATACTCATGCTGAGACTGTTGCTAGTCTGACTACATTTAGCCATCAAGCCTAAGGGAAATGTTTAAGTTATGGAACAAAAATTCAAAATTCTAATAAAAAAACAGGAATAAATTTTACATGTAATTTAAAATGGGATTTTTGCATACATTTGGCGTTCCAAATTAAGAATTTTAAAAAGATAAATTAAAGCTTTGGATGGCAATAGGATAAATTAGTTTACGAGTGAATGTTTGGAGTCAGAGCTTTATAGACTCAGAAGAGATATAGCTAATCTAAGATAGAAGGTTTGGATGTTAGGGCGTGAAATGACCTTAGCCGTTAAAATGTCCTTAAAAATTAATAATAATAATATTGTAATTAGAATCGCTCCAAAATGTCCTCCCCCCACCAAAATAAATAAGTGAACCTGCAGGGGAAAAAAAAGCTTATTAAAGATTTTATAATCTGGATCTCAGTACTGTCTTGATGAAAAACAAATTCAATTGTTACTGCCATTAACAGCAGTTTGGCGGTAACAACTTAACTTTTTTCATCAAGACCATACCGAGATCCAGATTATTAGTGAATAAAAAAAGAGGTCGATACATACAACACTTTAAAAGAGATTTTATAGTGTACCAACGAAAGGTACTGATTATTTTCATCAGGAAACATTGCCCAAAATAATAATAATAATACAAAAAAAAAGCAAACCTGGAGAAATAAGACAATGAGAAATTACTGAAGATTATTACCAAAAGGATAAATAAGTAAACCTGCGAGTATTGATTTGAATGAATTCTTGAATACAAAATTATTTTCCAGTTTAATTTCATTCAAGAGTGTCAGTTACCACAATGGCTAGTTTTGACATAGTAACTCATCCCTGTAAGAATCCAACAGTACTTAAAACACAGGATAAGATCACAAATTTGCGAACCACCAGGAAAAAACTTAATTATATTCGATTATTTTATATTTAAACAATGGATTATATAAATTTTAACTATAAAAAATTAATATAAGTCATTACACTAACCTGAGGTGAGAGTGAAAGCCCTTTTATACTCTTAGGTGTGTTGAATATGATGACATTCGTGAAATCCTTCAAAGGAGTTCTATTCCCTTCTTCCTTTTGATCTGCCATGTCCCTTCCCAAAATATGACTCTGAACAAAAAATTGAATTTGATAAAATTTTGTCTCTTTTACACTAAAAAACAAAGTTTTGTAAAATTATAAAACAATAAATGTTCTATCTATTTAAATTAAAAAATAGTTTCCATCCACTTCTTGACTGATTGTATACACTGCAACTATGTTCATGGTTTGATAGATGTGGCTCCACTTAAGCAAGTGGTGTAATCTTCCTATGTTGTGTCAAAAAATGCTCCTCGAATACAGAGCTTTGCGAACTCGGGCAACTTCAAACACACAAACATAACACTAGAAAGAAAGTGATCATATCCATCCTGTCTGTAGGTACTTCTTATTGATTTATATGAGCTCAAATCTGCACACATACATACATGCATGTACAGAGTTGAGCCTATCACTTCTTGCAGTCCACCAGCAATTCCAGCTTTTGTAATTTACAATAATATACCAGCAGGACTTGAGAATCACGTGCAATAGCAGTACAAAATTAGACCTCGGTCTTGCAGTCCATCAACAGCCCCCAATGCAATCGGTTTCTAGACCAAACCCACTCACTCTTAATATATTCTTTCCTATACCACAGCAACACGACACGCAAGCATGGCCCACTTACACACAAACCAAACATTTTGAGTGAGTAGAAATACTTTGATTGAATATAAAAAATATATTTTTTGCATTGTATAAACTCACTTTTTTCCACATCCTACATGTATTTGTTAAATTTAAACGATGTTTGTAAATCCCAGGCCCTGAAGATGATCTCAATAAAGATCGAAATGTTGGCACGATAAAGAAAATGTTTTTCTGAAACCTACATCACACCAGACCGCATCTCACGATTTCTGAATAATCATCTTTCCTATATCATTCACTTACTTAGGGTGGTCTAGTAATTTACATTCCTCCATTACCCTCCACACATATTATTTATAAAAACTTTATTATCTTATCACCAATTTGTTGAGTATCAGGAATGGTCGCCTCACTTCTTTGTGATCACTTCCCTGATCCTCAATAAATTGGTGATATAGAGACGGTCGATTCATCTTACCTTCATTACATTACCTTATCTTGATAATATTGTTATTTTTATTATATTCTATAGGTTGTTATTAAAACAATTTTTTATCTTCTCCCACTCTTCCACAGACAGAGACAACCAAACCATACTTTTATAAAAACAAATACTTTTTTAAACAAGTATTGATTTAGTGTCAGTTGAGTTTTGCTTAAAAAAAGTTAAAACATTAAATTGATCCCTATTGCCACGTTTCATAGTGATTATGATCTTTATATTAACTGATATAATATTTATATGATGTTAATCGTATAAACTGATCTGTTTTTTATTCAGTTGTTAACAGATAATTGTCTTTAAGGAAATTAAATTTAATTAAATAAACTTAATAGAAAATTTAAGGAATTAGCATGCTCATGTTCAGTCCTGCCTCAAAAGTGCAGTTAGAAATGGAAAATCAAGATTGCGCCTGTCCAAGCTTTCACAGGACACGACAAGATCGAATTAATTAATTTAGTTAATTAGCGTTTCTTGTTACTTAAGGGCCGTTTGAATTAAACGTTCCTGTTCAACTGTTATCTCGAAACCGGGGTTTAATAAAAAGAAAAACGAACCTGGCAGTATTTTTTCCCAATCCTCAAGCACTTATGAATTTTCGATATAATTCCAAAAAACGGCAAAGTCTGGCTGGTTGTATGGTGTTAAAATGATGATTTTCTTTTCTTTAAACATACAAATTACAAACGACGTTTGAGAATGCAGCGGGAAGGAAGTGTGATCTGTAGAAATACGTTAGATCTGCGCACAATCAAATGCCGAAGCCAGACTGGGCTGGAGTACTGGACAGAAGCGGGTTCAATTTAGGGACTCTCGATAAATTTTAATTTATATCGATTCTTTAAATTTGACGTTTTGTTTTTAAATCTATAAGCTAAAAGATTTCTTTTATAAACACCGTAAATATTAATACGACAAAAAAAAACTTTACTTTTTGGTTTTGCTTAAAATTTTTATTTGTATTGTTCGATATATCGAAGTTTTCTCGATTTGCCATGTTTGAATCCAAATAAAAATTCAAAATCTAACGAACTTTTATTATTGCTTTTATTTAAATTTTTAGATGTCATTCACTTCAATTACTAGTTAATAGCTAAAATAAAATAAACTTGAAAAACAAAACAATTATTTGTTCATAAGTACCTCCTGGATATGCCAAAGGAACTGCGGAAAAACTTGGAGACTAAATTCTAAAATGACCTTATGATCATAGAATAATATATTTTATGGAATTAATCCAATTTACAAAATTTTTTAAATATAGAAATATACAATATATATAAAAAATAACACTATAAAAGCAAAGGAAAAAAATACTTAAGTAACAATATGTAAAGTAAGAAAATAGCTTAAAAGAATTTTCTATACAAATATACCTAAAAAAGATCTCATCTATCATTGTTATTGTAAATTTTTAAATTGTCATTGTAAATTAACATAACATATTTTACAATCCATATATGTTTAGTGTCCATAATTGATCATATTAATTATTTCAATTAATTATTCTTTTTTAATCTAAGGTCTGATTGAGATGAAAAAAGTTAGTGCCATGAGTGGGATTCAAACCCATGACGTTGAGCTAAATATGCTCCTGTTCTAACCACTTGTCTCGATAGCTCATAAGTACGAATCCTGCTCGTATAACATATTTTTATGTAATTGTATTCTAATATTATTTATATAATATTTTAAACATATTTCCATTAACTATTCTTTTTTAATCTAAGGTCTTGGTTGAGATGAAAAAGTTAGTGTCATGATTGGGATTCAAACCCATGACCTTCAGCTGAATATACTGCTGCTCTAACCACTTATCTTGATAGCACATAGGTATGAATCCTTCTTGTGCCACTAACTTTTTCATCTCAACCAAGACCTTAGATTAAAAAAATAACAATTAATTGAAATATTTTCAAATATCATAAAAGTAATATTAGTAAACAATTAAACAAAACTATGTTGATTACGAAAGTAAAAGTATTTTGTGCATACTCAATTGAATTACATTTAGTAAAAAATTTAATTAGAAATAATAAAAAGTTTTTTTTTTTTTTTTTTTTTTTTTTTTTTTTTTTTTTTTTTTTTTTTTTTTTTTTTTTTTTTTTTTTTTTTTATTATGCTAATAATAATGTTTCAATTTCATGACACCTACATTTGTTGTTGTCACTTAGATTTATTTTATTCAAATATGCCTTGCATAAGCCATGATTGGATTTTATTCTACACATTATTTTGCATGATCTTTTATCAAACATTCTTTTGTCACAGCATGATTTGGTAGATACGATTGGATTTAAATTTTTATATAAAAGGCCTTTTTCCACTTTGTCATACTCTTCTTGCCACAATGTTATGCTGCGTTTTTTGATGACTTCGTTTAAGTCTGTATATGGAATTCTCAAGTTTATATTTTTACCATTTAAAGTCGCTTCCTTTGCTAATTTGTCAACTTTTTCATTCTCTACTATACCACAGTGAGCCGGCGTCCATAAAAATTCAATATTAATCATTCGTTCCCTACTTTCCTTTGCCAGTTTTAAAATACGTAATATTATATGATTATTTAACGTTTTGCTCTGATTTGAGCTTATCGCCGCCATAGCGCTTTGGCTGTCAGTTGTAATTATAATATTAGTTACATCTCCAATTGTTAAAGCATATTTCAGAGCTTCTTCAATTGCTGTTAGTTCGCTTGTAAACACTGTTGCAAGTTTAGGCAATTGGTATTTTTCGCCTTGCTTAGTCTGGGCATCGTACCAAGCGCATCCGACTTCTCCATTTATTTTAAATATGGAAATATAAAGAAAGTTAAATAATTTATATGAAAAACATTTTATTGTTAGAAAAATAATGAAAGATAATTTACCTTAAAATACACATAATAATTCAAGATTTAACATGTCTGCACCCTTGACTTAGAATAGAGAAAAAGAAGAATTAAAAATAGTAAGACGTGGAAAGTTAATGGCTGAACACATCGTTCTGTCAATAGGAGCATTTTTACTACAGTTAGTAGAATGGTAGGAAAATGAAAAAGTCTATTATGCCTGGTCAATGAGCTTGGTAAAGAAAAGCTAATTTGATTAAGTAAAAAAAGACGGTCAATATAGTAATTAATTATTTTGAAAAGAGTGTCTTATGGTTGCCAGACCCACGATCACTTGTGCAAGTCAAAAATAGAATAGAGTCAAAAATAGAGGAAATTGTGCAAAAAAAAATCCAAAGAATGTTGTACACTTATATCCCCTCCACAAAAAAATATTTTCCCAATTAATACTTTTAAATACTTTCTTTTATGTTTAAAATTATTTATTTAGTTCTTATGATAATGTTTTTAGATCAGTTTATTCCAATGTTTAAATTGTCTAAAGGTATACTATTTTAATAGATGAACATCAGGAACAATTCATAGAAAAAAAATACAGATAATTTTTGTAGATCATTTATATAAAATAATAAATTAAAAACTGAATATTACAAATAAAAAAAGCAAATAAAATTATTCCTATCACTCTGTACAGCTTTGTCTTGAAATTCTGTTTTTACAAACATGGTGCAAAATATCAACCTCAAAAAACATTCCAATTGATAACATTTACCTTCATTTCTCCTGAGCGATTGATCATATGTCTTGCATACTTTTAATTTATAAACTGGAAGTTCTGACAGAAATTTTAAAGCCAAGGTTGATCAAGGAAAATCCAATTCCTATCCAGTGCTTGGCGGAATTCTACAAGGACTGATCCTGGGTGATAGTTTTATAATCCAGGAAGAACATGCTTTCATAAGGGTTGTTCTACTACCGCCAATCTGTTACAGTACATTACAGAACTACGTTCATTCATCACTAGCAGCACAATTGCTGTAAATATGAAATAGATAGATTTCTCCAAATCATTTGATTTGGTAAATCATTCTCTTCTAGTTGATATTATTTTTTACATTTGGTATTCGCTATTAAAATGGTTTAGATCCTATTGGCCCATATATTCTAGGCCGTAAAATTGGATAATGCACTATCCAAGAAATTTCCTTTTTTATTTGGTGTACCTCAGAGTAGGTTTCTTGGCCCTTTTCTTAATTTATAAAATTAATAATATTCAATATTTCACAATCAGCCTCTAACACTACACATTCGCACTAATAAATACATTCACATTTCTCCAAAAATCAGAATAAGGACTCAAATTTTCATATCGGGTTGCATTTTTTCTTGTTCTTTATATAGAGCCAAGGAATGACATTAAATAAGGCATATCGAGACACTTTTTAAGTTTAAATTTATATTAATGTGAAATACTATGTTGTAATCTATGATAAATGAACCTACAAGGATGATCACATTTGATCAATGATGATAGTATGCTATTCTGCTTCCTATTCATTCAAGTGGAATAAGAGAAACCGGCCCTTCAGCATGATTTTCTTTCAAAGAATATTTTAAGGAATTCAAAGAATATTTGATCACCCTCTTGTCTGACAGTTGCATTTTGGTATTTTCATCATCACCCGATGTAATTTTGTCAGTTTTGTATTGTCTATGCATTTACAAAATGTAAAGGGATGAAAAAAAAATATAAAAAAGGACACAGCTGACAAAGCAACCTTTTATTTAGGCTAATATTTAAAATTATTTTAATTTCATTAATGCATAATAAAAGCTTGGGATTCTTTTTCAAAACATTAAAATATACTAAGAGTAGTCTCTATTAATTTGTTATATACATAAAAACTAGCATAAGGTTGGTAGTTTAGTATGTTTTGTGCACTTTTGCGGCTTAATGGGTACAAAAATATTTAAAGAGATTATTTCTTACTTATTAATGAAGACTTAATTTACAATTGTTATTAATTTTCTTTCAGAACCATTATGAGGAGAAATGAATTGATAATTGGTAATAAAAAAATTGGTGATTCTCACCCCTGTTTTATTATAGCTGAAATTGGGCAGAACCACCAGGGAAATATTTCTATTGCTAAAAAGCTCATTGATGTGGCAAAGGTAATAACAAACTGTAAAGATCTTGTCACACTTTAACCAGAGTACTATTCACAGGAATGTGGAGCTGACTGCGTCAAGTTCCAAAAGAGCTGCCAGTCAGAAAAGTTTACAAAGGAAGTCCTCAAGGCTGAATATTCCAGCACCAATTCTTGGGGTAGAACGTATGGTGAACACAAGCAATTTTTAGAATTTTCTGAAGAAGAGTTCAAAGAACTGCAAAATTATGCCAATGAAAGGGATATTTTATTTACAGCATCTGCTATGGATCAGGTATAATAGATTTTGTAGGCAAAACATTTTTAATTGATCGGTTCAATTTCAGGAATCGTTAAAATTTCTTACGTCGCTTAGAGTGCCGTTTATTAAACTGGGATCTGGTGACTCCGACAATCTTTTTCTTCTGGATGAAGCTTCCAAAACAAACATCCCTCTTGTAATTTCAACAGGTATTAGCATACTACCAGTCAGTTTTAATAAGTTAGGCAAAAGACAAAAAATTTGAATTTGCTATATGGTAAATAATATAGATGACCTGAAACATAATTTTCTGTAAGTGTAGGCATGCAAGATAACAGTGGATTAAAACAGGTTTATGAAATTGTAAAACAGCATCATAGTAATTTTGCCTTTCTTCATTGTGTCTCTTCATACCCAACACCAGTACAAGAAGCCAATTTAAAAGCAATCATCACATTAAAAGAATCTTACCCGATTCAGATTGGCTACTCTGGTCACGAAATTGGTTACAATATAACTTTAGCAGCAGTTGCATTAGGTGCTAAGGTAAAACATTTCTGAGCATGTTAATATGATTATTTCATTATACAGTTCATTACAGTAAATAAAAAAATCAGAATAATCTTTTTGTATTATTTGTTTGGTGGTACAATTTTTTCATCTAGGTTGTTATTTTTTATGCCATATATTTAATTCATTTATTCATTTTGAGCTATGCAGTATGTTCCTGGTCCCTTCTAAGCTATAATATTTTTTACACAATAATTTTTTATATAATAATATTAATAATAATTTTAATCATAATATTTTAATATATTAATATTAAAAAATATTGTAGTTTCAAAGAGAGACCAGGGACATGGCCCAAAATGCACAAGCGAATTAACTAAACAACATAAAAAATTGGTGTTTTAGTTCAATAAAGCCAACAATCTAGAATGAATAAATTAGAACTGTTCCAACTCTTCCTCTTTATATTGAGGTATAAAAAAATATAATTTAATTTTTTTTAGCAAGATGATTTGATTGTAGCCAAGTTAGTTCATTTTTTATCATTTCTAACAGTTTTTCAGTGCAAATATGTTTTTAGATTATTGAGCGACATATCACTATTGACAAGAACATGAAAGGAAGTGATCATTGTTGTTCCTTGGAGCCGCAAGAGCTAAGAGAAATGATCAAATCAGTCAGAGAAATCGAAAGTAGTCTTGGTGATGGAATAAAAAGGATAATGGAATGTGAAAAAGCATGTATTTCAAAGTTAGGGAAAAGCTTGGTCTTTTCAAGAGATGTCATGGCTGGAAGTATACTCAGTAGAAACGATATCAAGGTGAAAGTTTCCCGATCAAAGCAAGGCTTAACTCCAAGGCTTTTTTTCGATATTTTGGGAAAAACATTGACAAAAGATTCGAAAGAAGACGAAGTAATAACAATCGATTGTTTACAATAATAAACAAAAAGTTTATGGATTGTTTATTGTTTTTTTATTTTGATAGTTAGCACCTAATAGTCCTACTTGTCAGTTGTTTGATTTATAATAGGCAAAGTGCTGATATGAGACATTTCATTCATAGGCCATATTGTCAATATCATTTATAAGCATTTGTCAATAAGATTTTTTGCTTTCAATACTGGGACCATGGGGTTTGTTATGACCTCGGCACTGCCAACCCTGTAAAATGTAAAAAAAAAAGTGAAAATTTATTAAATTTTAAAGCAGTACAGTACAGGGTTGCAAATTGCTTGTCATTGACTTCACATTCTCATTACTTTTGCCTGTCATTTGTATGTTGCCATCTTTAGAACTGTGTTTTATGTTTTTTTAAGTATATTTATGTATAGTGAAGGGAAGTGTATATACATACAATTAACATCTGACAAACAAAATCAGCAAAAATTATCGAACTGCATGTTCAAGGATGTTCATAGACATTCAAGATACAGGGTCGACATCCTTACACCTAGTCACAAATTTCAAAATGTAAATGATGTTACTTCAAAAAACATATTTAACCTTAAAGTTAGAAAATATTTCCAGTCCAATTAACAAGAGACAATATCTCTCATTATAAGTGGATTAATGGCCTTTCATTTATCCCCTCAACTGTGAATGAAAAACAAATGAAACACATTTATTTTTGTAATTATATTTTATTTAAAGAACATTTAAAATAGATCACATTACAAGATACCAACAATAAAACCAATTGATAACATAAAGACTAATTAATGACTAGTGGAAAAAAAATCAAAATAAAAAACAAAATTGCTTACTTTAAAACAAATCAGTAATAATTGGGTTTAATTGATAATAAAGGTTACATTTTATATATCACATAAAAACATTTGGATCATTTCAAATTAAATTTTATCACATTGAAATTTTTGGTTGATTTTAGGCTTTTTTATTCTGTAAATGATATTCTCCATTTTAAACGTATGTTGTAAGATAAATAAGCCGATAATATTTAAATAGCCAATGAAATATTCACTAGTATTCTACAATTATTCTAATGGAAATCTGAATACCACCACATTTAATAATGCCACATTTATTATCACATATATTAACCCAAATCGCCGAAAACTATCTTTGTTTTTATCATTGTGGCTGTTTGCGGGAGAGTCTTATGGGCAAACATTTATTCTGTAGAAATCACCACTATTTCCGGCACCTATCAGCCCAAGATGAACTTTTTTTTTGTTGAAATTTTTATAGACGACTTGAATACGTGGCGCAACCACCTAACTGGTATTGTGTGGAATTCTATACATAATAGTCGCCGTGAGTTGAGAGAAATTATGACTAATAATACAGTTTCATGTTTATACATTCTTGAAAACTATAACATTTATTTTATTGTAATTTATTTTTAAAAAAAAGGAAACTAAAAACTGATACTTACTCAAACTTCATTTTCTAATCAATACTTTAATTTATTTAAAATAAATATACACAAAATGAAAGAAAATATACAAAATGGTGGAATTTATCAATAATATTTAAAAAATAATTTTTTTCTGGTTCATAATATTAAAAACTATGTGAAAATATTTGAAATAAAGGCAATTTGCTAAATTGTATACTGCAGCACCAACCAGCGGCACTTATAAACTATATATAAATATAAATTTATATACAACTTATACAATTATATATTCTTCAAAAGTTTTTAACCGTCCTTATTAAGAACTTTATAACCAGGAAAAAAATCTCACTCATTAAAAACTTATATACACCAAGACATAAAAACCTATTTCGATTTTTGCTGTCATAACTGCCCTGTTTATAGGCCACATTTACATTTATAAATCTCCACCAATCTACAGGTGGCTTGATTCATGGCGATGTTTTACAAAAGCGATTGCGGCTAATTCCTTACAAAGCTCCTCTAGTACGACAATGTTTTCGAATGTACTACTCGTTGAATCGGACCTTAAAGTGAGTAAATAGTTAAAATTATGTACATAGTAAAGGGAAAAAAGTACATACATGATTTGACAAGGTAGGTTAGGGTCCTCGGTGATGAGCCTTGCTCTGGTTTCTTTAAGTAGAATTTGATTCCCTGGTTTGCACATAAATGAAGTTTCAAGTGCGGCAGCTGTTCTAGTCAAAACTGAGCACAAACTGTTCACTTCAGGTGCTAGTTTGAGCACGCATGTATCAAGGAGGTAGCAGGAAAGGCTCGGTTCAGGGCGGAGGCAGATCCTTGATATGACTCCTGTCAGTTCCAGATTCACTTCGTACGGCTAGTAAAACAGAAAAAATAAATTTCTAAAGTTAAACACAACCAATATGTTATACCTGGTTTGGAATATTGGCAATTGCTTCGAACAAGGCCCTGAGGAAAGGTCCTTCATAGAATTGTCTCCATCCTTCGTTCTCGCTACTTCTCTTATCACTTTCTTTTTTCATCGAGGGATTTTTGAGACTTTGATTGAATTGGGCCAGCACCGAGGTATATTGTCGCTGTGTTTCAGCCAGATATTGCACGTAACTGTTGTTTTCAGTGCATCTCAACTCAACAGGAAGAACATTTATGAAACTAAAAAATAATATTCAAGATTACTGATATATATAGATAATTCAGTATATCAAGCATAATTTAGTAATCTTTACATACATTATATAAACAACAATTTACATACATTTATATAACTATAGTAGAAATCCGTTCATCCGGACTTGAACGGATGATCGAAAGTCTGGATAATCAGAACATTTGTGATTTTATTAATATTGTGTCATAAAGACGGGAAAAAAACCACACATACGAAAGAGAACACTTTTATTTGTATATCAAGTAACATTTAACGTAATACATAATTTTTATTAGTTTAATGTTTGTTTAAGTCCAGAGAAGCGTTTATCAAAAAATGTATACATAAAAAATACCTAATAAAAATCTACATAATTTAAAAAAAAACCTTTTTAGTGGAAGCCAATGTACGAAAAATACGAGGCAACATTTTCTAGTCTTTTAAAATAGTATACAACTTTTATTTATTTATTTTTAAACAAAAAGTGCCTCTCCAGCCTCTTCGATCGTATGGCTAGTGGAAGGGCAATTTGGTGGCCTTTACAAATTTTGAACAATGAATTAAAGGTCCCATAGTTGAATTGTGAATTTAAAAAAATAAATATATCTGTAGAATGAGAATTATGAAAAATTTATAAAAAATGTGTGGTATTTAGTGACCGTTAATTAATGATTATTTGGAGATTGTGGGACTATACCACTATACACTACTATACCAGACCGCATCTCACTATCTCCAAATAATTTATAAAAAATATTTTAACAACAGGTCCGGATAAATGGGTTTCCACTGTAATCTAATATAGGGTCGATGGGGTACCCAATATTCCGTCATTGGCCCTCTCACACGACACATTTATGCCAATAAATACATTCACTCTCAACATACATTAGGGACACAAAACTATCTAGATGATGACCCTTCTTCTAAAAATGGTTTTTGTTTCTTGTTTTATTGTGAATATATTTAAAAAAAATTGATTATAAAATATATAATAAACGTACCTGTCGATAATTCTGTCAATTCGGGATTTTTTATCAAGACTGTCCTCAGAATTATCATCAATTTCTAAAATAAACGATTAATGCAATTAACACAAAAATGGATAATTCAAAGTTAAAATTAGTTTTAATTAGCAATATGTAAATAGTATGACTTACACAAATTGACAATAATAATTAATTGAATATTGTGAAAGTTATAAATATTAATTTAAATATTACCATCAACTGCTTTATCAAGAAAACTGTTGTCATTGACGTACACCAATGCTAAACAGTCTAAAACATGTTGATCCCCCTTTTCAAGTATCACCTAACAATAACATATACATAGTTATGTGCAAAGGTGCATATATAACAATTACAATACACCAATTGTTACAAACAACAACCCTAGTAAAATAGATATAAAATAGAAATACAATTTGTATTGCATTTTGAAGAAAAAAAAATTTGTAGATGTTCTACATTTTAAAACAGGCATATTTATTATTTTTAGTATTACTAAAATAAAATTAAAATAATACAAGAGCTCAAATGTGCAGTACTTAAATTGAAAATAACACAATAAGTACCTCAAAAAACCTAAGGGTTTCTGTAATAAGGTCCACCTTATAACTTTTCCAATTTGAAATAAGAGTCTGATATACTGAGCTTTCATTATTTGCTCCAGGTATCTCTCGAACCACTTCTGCACCAACCAGCCATTCACTGAGGACTACAAACCAACCTGGCTGGTAACAATGAAATTCAATATTTCATGAGCGTGAAAAAGACCAAACCTTGAATAAGTAGTTTTGAAGTGGACATTTTGTAGCATTTTGCCAATATAGCGATATCGAGCGGCTGGACGAGAACATCCAATGTGAATATCTCATTAAGAAATTTTTCTTTTATTTCTTTTGAAAGTGCTTCACCAATTATTTGATGAGACTCAGCTAATATCTAAAACAAAGTTATATTTTCAAACAAAAACAAAACACAACAAAAAAATCTTAGGCTCATACCTGGTCACAAAAGTCATACCAAGAAAGGAAAGTAGTCACTTCATTTGTTCCGTCCAATAAATCAGAATTGTCAATATCTAACCTAAAATAAGAAATGGCACTAATATAAGCGATAGTTACAAAGATGTTTCAAGCATTTTTTCCAAAAAAAGTTATTAAAATTAAGTTAAAAGTTTGTAAATAAAGAATAAAAAAAAAAAACAATAAATGTCTTTTATAGATGCATTTATACAGGTGAATCAACCTACTAACCTCAAAAAGTGTTCACACAACAAATAAGTTTGCTCATAAACCCTAATAATCAAAATAAATAAGAACAATCAAAATACCCCCAAGAGACATGAATATCATCAATAAAGCTTGGATCTGTTGTTGATGGAATATTGTGATAAAGGTCATTCAGTCTTGAAGTAAGCTTCGAAAGTAACAGAGTATCTGCTACAATGATTTCCGCAGCCCTCGAATCGGGTAATGAGACCAGTAGCATCACTGTCTGGCAGGCTTTCAGCCTTACTTTACAATTCTGCAAGAAAGAAAATAAAACTGTTATAACGTTTCATCGTATTGATATTCAATCATACTTGGGATTGCAGGTATGGCAAGGCAGCGTCCAACAACGGAAACTGAGCAGATTCGTCTACAACGAGTGACTTGTTGTCATCAGAAGAGGGCGTACTTATTCCAGATGAATCGGGAGGGACAGGCACCAACCGTACTACCTTAGACCGCACAGAAGTAGCCAGTGGTGCAAATAACGGATTGTTTTGAGGAGCTGAAGAACTGCAATCACTAGGTGCTGTTGACGACACACAACTTGCCTCTGATGAACAATAAGATTCTCTCCGATTTCTATCTGGGCTAGTACCACAGCTCCCCTATGAAAATGTAATGCTTATATTTCATAAGAGCATATTTTAACATGCTTAATACCATCCAATTGCGGGATTGATTAAACAGTTGAAATATTGACTCACTTATTCACACATTTATTATGTGGAAATGTAATTGACAATATTTTGAATAAATATTTAGAGTTATTCAAAACTTACATTGATGACATTTGAGGTGAATACGGGAAGCAGTTGTGGATTCCGTCTTACCATTGCTGTCAGCCCCAGAAGGTAATGAACTTCTTGCATTTCACTGGAACCATAGCTGCTTCCATCACACTGGGCTATCAGCCTCTGACATTAGAAATAAAACAAAATCAAACCTGTCAAATCCAGAAATTTATTACTAGCGAATATGGTTTACCTGTAATGGAGGGTAAACACTTGTGTGGCCCAACACTGGCGTTTTAATATTGGTAAGAAACTTGGCGATGAATTGAAGAACGGTTTTCCGTATGCCAGGCGGGTCGTCGGAATCGGCCAGGGACACAACGAGGTCAAGCAGATTGTGTTGGAGGAGGTATTCCATGCAAGGACCTGGGTGGCCCACAACCCACATTTCCTCATCTTCTTTTATCAGTATCTACCAAAATACATACACTATTGCAAAATATTCCTATACTTTTAAGACATTTAAACTCTTTTGAACATCTCAACAATCCAGACCGAACATAATAAGATTGTTTTACTTGGCATGTCATACATAAACAGCAGTTTATACAGTATATAATTAAGTAAAAATAACTTTTTTTTTACATAGCTAAATTACATTTAAATAGTTAACATTGCAAATTTAATTTAAAACAGTACAGAAATAATTATTTAAACAATATTAAGTGATATTTTTAGGGGTTTAACTCCAAGCATTGACTGGGAGATGACTTGCACAGCGAGTCTTTTAATGTCACCATAAAAATAAGCTCTTCTCTAAATAAATGGAACAGAAGGTACGATTGCTTGTGACAAGTCCTCTGTGAACTACATATAAAAAACTCTTTTCCCTTTATAAAAATGCTAAGGGACCTCAGTGATCAAGAGGTTAGGTCATCTGACTTCTATTTGCCATGGTTCTGAGTTCAAATCCTGGCATAGTCCATGGCTTTTTTAATTTTGAAAAATATGAAATGTATTTTAAAGTGGTTTGACCCCTTTGTTCACAATACCCAACCAATAGTTGGATGTTAAGTCTTATATAACAATAATTAGTTTAAAAAAATAAATAAAATAAAATAAAAATGCTTAGTGAAATTAGAATCCAAAACATTTCACTTTGATGTTTCTCAGTGAAAATGTTTCAGAACAACATAGGTCTCTCTTCTTCTTTGCCATTTGAAGATTTCACACTGACATAGGAGAATATGAATCTAAATGTTATATCATTCAAATTTTTATCAAGTTTAAGCAAGCATAATAAAGTAAATTATTTCTTCCCATCAGATTTTTTTTCTTCAAAATAAACAGTTCTTCTTAGGGGTATGGTAGCATATACCAGTACTTATATCCCAGATACCATAGCCTTTTCTCAACTATTGTAGGGCAGTCACATATGGGATTTCCTTTTTTTATCATTGGGTTGTTTTTGTAAGTAGCTTTTTTTGCTTGTTTAAGTTCTTTAATTTCTAAAGATTCCAATTGTTTTTTTCATGTTGATATAGTTTATGCCACAAAATAGATTTGGGACAATGTGTTATTACAAGATTTCCTTTTTGGCAAGTACATCTACTGCCTTGTTTCCTAAAATTTCCTTATGAACTGGGACTGTTAGGCTATTTGTAAGTCCTAGTGGATTTTATGGCATTAAGCATTCCAGATAAGTTTTTAGTCACGTAGGCCTGGAGAGACTTTAGAGCTGCCTGGCTATCTGAAAGTGTTATTATTGTTGCATTCTTGAGATGTTTGTTATTTACTACACGTGTTCATGTTTCTAAGCAGTTTGGCTTGAAAAATGGTTGAGGTAGGGCCGAAGGCCATATGGTGCTCAGTTACCATATGTTTTCCACCTTTGACCCAACTGTACCATAGACGAGCTTCAAGTTCATCTTCTTTTGACCTACTTATTTGACAAGTTTCCTACAAAAAAATTAGTCGATGACAGTCATAACTACGATTAAAGTTATTTACAAAGTATGCAAGTTATACGTCCTTTCAGTAATTGGTAAGGCTGTAAGAAATTGTTACAAAAACTTAGTTTTCTGCCTATTTTGTTGATTTTGTATCAGGCTAAGGTTGTTTCTGTAAGTTTTTTTCTCATATTTTTGATGTAATAATACTTCCCTGTGTATGTAATAACAGAAGGGTGTCCAACGGGAAGGTGGAAGCAGTTAACATAGCACGGTGGTTAACTGTTTTATATTCCCCTTACAAGATTAAAATTTCATAGTTGTGCTGTGTAGTGTGTGGTAAGCATGAAGGATATTCATTGGCATAAAACAACATCCTTTAGGCCTCTTTCAGAAAAGGCAGTTAATTGATTGAACTATTGAACAGACGGGTGCCAAGGAGTGTAATTATGAACCACCTTGACAAGTGGTCAACTCATCCACCCTGGTGGGTGGCCAACAGGCTGCTCATATTCTCATCCTCACTGGTTGACTCAACTCAAAAGACTTGGCATTCATACTTCACACCAGTCAGTTGAGCCAATTGGGTTCACCATAGAAAGGATTTAACTGCAAGACAAGTTTCTATGTGAAATAGTACATTAAAGAATTCATATTCATCCCCCTGCAATATGGGACAATTTTGAGGAGTATAACAAGAAAATTAAAAGGAGTGACGCTTCGAGAGAAGTAACATGGCAGTAGTTGTAAGAAAGCACCTTTTTCACGACTTTGTAACAATCCTTTTCTTCAACTGGGTTTCCTCCTTTTTTTGCTTCTCTTCTTGCAGCCCAAGAAGTGCTCCTGTGTCCTCAGGTTCTAGCATCGCATTAACCTTCTGTTTGAAAAAGAAGTTGATTCCACAGGTGTGAAACCAACCAAGAAAAGGGTTCACTCAGCAGTCAACTAGTAGAGAGCCCACCAGGCATCTTAGTTGATCAATTAACCTGTCTCGTCTGAAAAAGGCCTTAGTTATATAGGATGAAGGCACCCAAACCAGGCCTTTTTATGTCCCACCTGCTTCTCCAGGATGATGAAAAGCCCTTGAAAACAATTATTCTAGGAATGTTCATCAATCTTCGATAATAAACCAAGATTCCAAGCAAAACGACAAAATAAGGGATTGATGATGTTGGGACTATCACCATAATCAAATTATTAAAACAGCAGGACTTTGTTTGCAGTTCAAGGTCTTGAAAACTGACATTTTTTTTTATTATTCTTTTCTTCCTACTATTTTAACCCACTTCAGTCAAAGATACGCGAAGCTTCCTTGACTCGACTGTTTTAACATGCTGAAAAATGTTGGCATCGCTTTTGATAACATGTGATAACTCTTTTAGCTATTTACCAAAGCTACATCGATTCTACCCTGTCATGAAACTTATTTTCCAAGAGGATTTAGATGAACTCGAACAGAAAGCTTTGAAAAGGCAATTGAGGCAAGAAAGAGAAAATAGGAAAATGATAAAAGCTGAACAAGCTGCAGTACAAGCTTAAAATTAATATTCACAAGAAGTTTATCTAAAAAGAGAAAAGTCCTCAGTTTCTACTCTTAAGTGTATGTTACAAATCGTGGATTTGTTCTCTAGAAAATGTTTAAAAACTGATAGTATCTAGTAGAAGTATATGCCATGGAAAGTTCGATGAGGACGTATTGACCCTGAACCATTTTGTGGCATATCAATTGCCAAAAACATTGATCCATTAGAAAATGGATTAAAAATAAGTCCTCTGTTCAATGGGAATGAAGCCCTTGGTAGAGGCATGCGAAAAAGTACATCAAAGGACCAGAAACTAACAGTAGAACTGCTAAATCTAGGACATATTAGGACTAGAATAATACTTGGACTGTTAACTGCATACTACAGATGCAAATACCACTCAGGGTAGCAGAAACAAGCTCGTGGAGATATTACCAGGAAGAAAAAAAAAAGATAGCTGAACACTCTCTGTTGGTGCAGAGGCTTATGTGGCTAAGTCCTACTCTGGGAGAAAAGAAAAGCCCAGGTGTGAAGGAACACACAGGAGTCACTTGAAAAAGCTTTTGGATCTGGTAAAAAGCCTTAAGCTTAATAAAGAGCTTTATGCAACAATGAAAATTAATAATAGACAAATACTGGTCGTGGTGCATTGGCTGTAAAGAGGCTGACTCCTTTTCTAATCATCTAATCTTCATGAATTTTGCACTTTTTTGTTAGTATGTATGGGAAATTTTGTAAAAATTGTTGATAATTTAAAATGAGCAAATGTAAAACTGGGTTACCTTAAGCAGTTGGTCGAACCGTGCAGGAATGTTAGTGGCCTCGACAGAATGGGTCTTCTCCGCTGCTATGTCCAAGTAGTTTTTCATCAATTTTTTCCAGTGGTATGCGAAATCCTCGTGCAATGGTGGAGGAGGAGCAAGCTTTTGTTGAAAAAATGGTGAAATTTACGAGCTTACTATATCGAGAAACAAAAGATCTCACATCAAAACCACACTCACCACATCCACTGCGTTCTGCAAAGCGGTTGAAAACCGGCCCAACATCACTAATCATCAGACCGTCATATCGTCCAAAAAGAGACAGATTTAAAATTACATCAGTTGAAGATTTATAGAGTAAAAGACATCTTTAATCATTATTGATAAGGTTTGTTTTTGTTGTTTCAAATCCTTCTCCTTGATTACACTTGGCGATCCATTGAAGTTCAGATTTGATATTTTTCAGTATTGAAACGTCAATCCTTTGTTAGCAGTCGTAAAAAAATAAATATTAATAAATATCTTTTCACAATCTTGACCATTTGTGTATTTTAAAGCTGAATTTACTCCACATTGTATTATATATTATTAGCAGACATTAAGAACAGGCGGGAAGAGCAAACTGTCAGCACTTCCGTTTTTCAAACCCTTTTAAATCTTGTGCTTTAAGTTTATTGTTAGACAAAGTTGGCATTCAATTGTTGAGTCATTTTGATGAAGTAGACTACAAGCAAATAATAGTTGAAGACAAAATGGTAAGATAATTCAAGCAAAAGTATATTTTTCTTTCATGATTTTTCAAATGTGGGCTTAAAGAGCTTAAATGTATGACAATTCATTTAAGAAATTTTTATATATTTATACAAGAAATGTACAAAAGGTCAACGTAGTTTTTCAAATGCCGACCGACAATAATACTACATCTTTCAGCTAGTTTCCTCCGACTAGAAATGTACATTTTCACAGAGACTTTGCTGGGTTTCCAGAATAAGTTAAAACTTTGGTTTTTTTCAGAATATTATAGACTGCATTGATTTTTGGCAAGTCTTCTGGCAATAGGTTGATTTTGTTCCTGAACAGCTTGGAAAAAATTGAAAACGGCCCAGGATAGTGGCCAATAATATTATTCGTTACATTGACGAAAATGTCCGTCTCATCTTCTAACATCAGCACTTCGCATCCAAAATTGCTACATTGCAATGTTTGGAATGGATTGGTCTTGTGATAGGTGTTTAGTCGAAATTGGAAAATAATTTCTTTGAGCCCGAAGGCCATATTCCAGCTCGAAGCCTTAAACTCGAGGATATTAGAAAATATTGCCATTGTATAATAAATGTGATCTTCTAAAGATAGTGGTTTAGCAGAACATTGTTTTACATAAAGAAATGAATCGTTTTCAGGGAATATATCTAATCCTACTGATTTCATTTTACTTATTAAATCTCGTATATCCACCATTTTTCCTATGATCCCATCCAACAGATGTTCTGAAATACCATCTATTTTTTTTAAACATATTTTATCATTGATTATTTTTAAATGGGTGGTTAAATGTTGCCCCTCCAATATCAGTACTATTTCTTCGTCTTCTTCATCAGGTGAAAGGGTCCAGTTTTTGTAAGGAAGTTCATGAAATCGGAAGGTGAACATTGCAATTGGACCTAGTTTCCCTAATTTAAATTCTATCATGTTGTGTTCCTTGTCATGTTCGACATCACAGACATGTTCTACAGACCAATATTTTTTTTCAATATCCCATACAGCTGGTTGAGGTTTCATAAACCAGAATACTTCTTGACTGAGTGGAATTTTAAGTTTTACGAGATTTTTTGAATCATGAAATTTTTTGGCTGGTTGTTTTTTAATTGGTTCAATTATTGTTTCAAGTGTGTTTGTTTTCTTGGCAGAGGAAATACTTGAAATGGAACTTTTTCTCTTTTCATCAACATTCACTTCTACCTGTTCGTTCAGTTCAAAATAATATTCACAATTCATTCTAAAAACATCATTTGTTTCAGAACAATCGATTTCAGGGATATCGCATACAAAATTTTCTCTTTGCAACTGACACAATCCATCAGTATGAATCTGAATAAAATCCCCAAGTTTTAATTGACATAAATCTGATACATGTTTTACCAAATCTACATGATATACACCACTGAATGAGTGGTAGCATCTCAAATTGACTTCTTTTGGTTTCAACTTGATTGTCATCTGTTGCTCAAGTTGTTTATAACTCTCTTCTTCATTTTTTATAAACTTATTGATTGTCGAAGTAACATCTTTACTTCCAGTTGTCTCTTTCTTGCAGAACGACTCCTCTTTTCTTAGTATACCAACCAAATTCATGTATGTATTGCTTTCTTCGAAGTGAAATATTAGGTCAAGGAAGCTTGTATTGTCTTCTAAATCTACTTCTCCTGCAGCAAATATTTCCCAATCAGAATAATTCCATTCACATTGTTTTTCACCTTTTTCTTCATTATCCATTTCGTCATTGGAAAATGGATCTAACATTGAACTTCCAAAAGAGAATATTCTGTGGATTACCGAAGATTTGGCTGTACAAGTGAATGTAGTAACTGAACTGAGTAGACTTTCACCAGAACTCCTGTACCCTCCCAAATGCCTAGCGTCCCAAGGTGAATGAAATCCTCTATGCTTATCAAAATGATCATAACGAATGCTTGTACCATTACTTATATCTCTGGCATGTCTTTTCATCAATTTTATTCTTTGTTGAAAAAAATTATTTGAACTATGGATTGATCTATTATCCTGACTGTGTATAAATGATGATGGAGTATGACTTCTATAATTTTTTAGGAAAGACAATTGTCTCTCGCTCAAAGTTTGTTGTTTTCCACTTTTTCTTATTATTTCTTTTTCTTTTGGAATCGCTGACAAGTCTAGTGATTCCATTAGAGTTTCACACTTTTTTATCTCATTGGAAAGGTCATTAGATTTAATTTCAGGTTGATATCTCGAGGCACTTAAATCACTTTGAAAGTCAAATGGAGTATACATAACCCTAAGGACTATAGGTTTACAATTGTAGGACAATGGAAGAGTTACAGTTGCATTCATGTTTGGAAAATATACTGTATGCCTATTGAACGGGCAGGTAGAACTGAAAGGAACATCCAACAGAGCCCACATTCCAAGTTCAAAATTTTCAAAGCTCTCCTGATAATTTCTTCTATAATAATCAATGTGTGTAAAATATTTTCTAATTTCCTTTATCATTGTGAAACAGGCATAATCAATCTTTTCAGTGAATTCACATTTCCAGTTTTGCATTGTTTCTCTTAAACTGATGACAACATTTGCTTTTATTTTTATTGGAAAATCTGTAAGAAGTTTAATTGCGTCAAATGTAGGCAGATATAATGTTAAACTTGCATCTAGCTGTCGCAGCGTCGCAAATTTTGTCTCATGACACCAAGTCACAAAATGTTGATGAACACTTGGTGGTAACTCAGGGTAAGGTAGCTGATTACAATTTAAGTACCTCTCCCATTCTTTTGTCTCTTCTCCTTTTTGCAATTCTCTTAACATTTTGCCTTTCATTTTCTTAAATAACAATTCAGTTTTGTTTAAGATTTTTTCATCTTTTTTATTTTCATCAATAGCATTGAGATTGCTTCTTAATCGCATCCTAGGGATCGATTCATTTGTTCCTTCACTTCGTGCATCGATATCCTCCATTTTACTTTTATTGCTATTGGTTTGAATAGAAGGGTTAACAATTGTTAATGAACCACAGACTAAAATAACTATTTAACAGTGTGTAACAATAATTCTACAGTCACTCTATGAAACTAAACTTTTTCAACAATTAACACCTGTATTTTTAGATATAATTCAGTTGTTAAAAGAAATAAACTACAATATAAAATCAACCAATAAAATCAAGGCAGTTTAAAATTAGAAAGTTCTACTTCTATAGTACAATTACTCCTACTATGCATGTTTTTTAAATTTTGTACAGCCAACATGTTTTTGTTTTAGAAAAATCTTTTATGATTGTTATTCTTGTATGCGTAACATCACTATGTTTCTTCTTTAGGAAAAAAATGTGTACAAACTCTTATTCTGGTAGCATTGATGCATGTACACTATTTTTAATGAAATTGTCCATATTTTAAATCTAATTAAATTTTATTCCTTCTGCAAAAATTTACTTAAGATTTTTACTTCCTGCACTTAAGTATCTTTAATGTGATGAATAGTTTAGAATAGGACATAGAAATATTATAGAATTATGTTAAACTTTTCTTTATTTTGTTGGTTCTACTGTTTTAATCTTGACATCAATGTGAAATATTTTAATTCCAATCAGTCTGAAAATTGTGAAACCTTGACGGTCGGTCTGCAAGTTGTTTAACATTAGTTTTGAAATCCTGATCGATTTCAGTTAAACTTGTTATCCTCTCATCTAACAATTGAGCAATTTTCTTTTAAAGACATTTGCTTGGATCTCCAGAAAAAGTAAGAACCTTTGTTCTTGTTAATAGAGTGTAAACAGTATAAACCATTGTTGAATCAGACTGCAAGAAATGGACGTTTTTTGCATATAGCTTTGATAATAACGAGTAGGAGTCAGGAAAGAATTCTTTGCCTTGGTTTGTTGTTTCAGGAAACTTTTGTGCATCATCATTAATTATCACCATTTCACACCTAAAAATATTTGCTTTATAAGTTGCATACGAAAGCAAGCTATATGGTGCATGCAAGCGACTTTGGAATGCTATATCATTACGCCCGATGGCTAGGTTCCAACTGGAAGAAGTGAACTGTAGAGTGTTTGAGAACATTGACATAGTAAAATAAATGTGGTCTTCTAAGGCCGATGGCTTTGCAGAACATCCTTTTACATAAAGAAAAGTATCATCTTCAGGAAAAACATCCAGCCCCATTGATTTCATTTTATCCATCAATTCACTAATACTAACCAGTTTTCCTATAATCCCTTCTAATAAATGCTGTGAATATCCCATAATGTTATTTAAACAAATTTTATCTTGAATTACTTTAAATTCAACAGTAAGATGTTGTCCTTCTAAAGTCAATACTACTGTTCCATCTTCGTCCTGTGGTGACAGTGTCCAATTTTTATAAGGCAGCTCGTGAAAGCGGAAAGTAAACATTGCAATAGGCCCTACTTTACCCAGTTTAAATTGTATCATGAAGTTTTGTCTATTATGTTCAACTTTGTGCACGTGTTCGACTGACCATATTTTTTTTTCATTATCCCACACTGCTGGCTGTGGTTTCATAAACCAAAATACATTTCTTGGTAGATAGATTTTAATAACGATCAGCTTTTCTTCATTCCTTATTTCTGCTTCATTGAGATCCATTTCATCTTCTTCGATGGGCTGTTCTATTTCTTGTATCTCCTCTAAATGAAAATAATAGTCTTCGAACTTAATTTCAAAGTTGTCAATTGAGCTGTCAGATGTTGGTTTTTTTGTTTGAATGCAGAAGTCGTCTTTTTCCAACTGATAAGGTCCTATTTGCGTTTGTAGAAAATTTCCTATTTGAATTCTACAAAGGTCAGATGTGTGTTTAAACAGATCCACGCAGTATATTCCGGAGAATGTATGGCATTTCCTCAGATTTACTTCGTATGGTTCGGTTTTAATAGTCATTTGCTCCACAAATTGATAGTAGCGTTCTTCCTCACGCTTTGAAATAATTTCATACATGGGTTTAATTTCTTGGTTAACATCTATTTTCTCTTTTTTTTGTAAATGGTTTTGTCTTACCAGTTCTTGTATTGTTTTTTCTGAGTTAAAAAGTCCCAAAGTTTCATTATCATAGAGGTAAAATATAAGATCAAGAAAAGAAAAAGATTTTGCTACATCCATTTCTGAGTCCCTAGCTACCAATAAATCTAAGTCAGGACAAGACCATCTTATAACATTACGGTTTACTTTGTCGTCATAGTAGTTATCACCAGTGTATACATTAGAGGTCCTAATTTTACTGGAAAATGTGTTAATTGAATATCTACTTTGCCCTCCAGCTTCTGAATCGGAAGATTTAGCTTCCCATATTGGCAGACTCTTTTTAATGTCTAGAAAAGGAAAGGATGTTTTAGAATCACTTTTTGTATTTATCACTAGCCCAGATAGGGATTTGTTTTGGGCCGATATAATTGAAAACTGGGAGTTAGCTGAATTAGCACGTTCTGGCCCCTGACTTACACTTGATACCAGAGATGTGGTAGTGGATCTTCGTGATAATTTCCTTTCATTGTCTTCTTGATTTTTTGAAATATCTTCTTGTATTTCAAGTTGTGGTGAATACATTTCTGCAGCATCGTCTTTTTCTGTTTTCTGTTTTTCTAATTTCAGCAACCTCAACTTTTCCTTTTGTAGCTCATTCAATTCTGTCTGAACAGCCTCCTTTAATTCTTCGTATCTTTTTGTCTCAGATAGAAGGTCTGGTGCTTTAGTAAAGTCAGGTTTATGACTTGTTTTTGTTAAATCACTAAAGAAATCAAAAGTAGTGTAAATAACTCTTAGTACAAATGGTTTGCTGTTGTATGGAAATGGAAGGCTGACAGTTATTTCCATACTGGGAAATGTTATTATTGGTAATTCTCTTATTATATCTGATCTCATAGGTACATCTAATAAAGACCACATCCCAAGTTTAAAATGTTCAAAGGTTTTGTGATATTCTTTTGTATAAAAGTCAAGATGGGAAAAATATTTTCTTATATCTTTTATTAGTAAAAAACAAGCGTAATCTATTTTTTTAATGAATTCACTCTTCCACTCCACTACTATCTCTTGTATGCTTTTTATGATGTTAGTGTATGCCTTTAATGGTATATCAGCGATTTGTTTTACAATATTAAATATGGGTATGTACAGATTTACACTTTTATTTATTTCTTCTAAGTCTGCAAATTTTTTTTCTTGACACCAAATCAAAAAGTGTTTCCTGACACTAGTAGGTACTTCTGGGTAAGGTAGTCTGTTGTAACTCGTGTACCTCTTCCATTCTTTTATTTCTTCATCTTTATGGATATCTCTTATCCCTTTCGCTTTAACTTTTTTAAACAACATTGTGATTGCAGACAATAACATTTCCCTTTTCCTTCTTTCGCTTTCTTCTCTTTTTTGTCTTTCCTTATTGCTTTTAATTTCGTTCTCTTTACTTGCTTCTTTGCCTTTCGCCTTCTTTCTCATCCTTCTAACAGGCTCAGAAATTGATTCACGTTTGCTAACAATATCTGCCATATCACTCGTTTCAAATTGATTAGGAAATAATTCTCTGAAAATTAATTTTTTCTAATCAATAACTATTACCTATAAATCTAATCTAAAAAAACTTCAACTAATCATCTACTTAAAAAAAGTTTTTGAGAAACAATTTTAGTTTTTATTCCATGTGACTCTGTCATATGTCACTTTCAGTTTCAAATATTGACTAATAATGTCATTATATGTAGGGCTTTCTGTAAACACAATTTTACTTGAAAAGGAAATGTTCATTGACAAAGCTACAAAATAATTTCCTCAGCAAAGAAAAATAGGTCACAATTCCTAGGCATTTCTCCTCTTTTTGAACAAGGAGTTTTATTGAATAATCTTATAAGTTTTTAAAGATATTCAATCATGATTTAATTTAAAAAATGTCGATTATTTCATTATTATTAAGTAAGAGATGAAAAGAAAGTTTCTTTATAACAAAGAAAATATTTAGTTCTAATGAAATAAATATTTAATAGTTTTTAATAATTTAAATATTCTACTAATAGTTTTTGGAACGTAAAAAATTTTATTTTATAATTATTAATTTTTATTACTAAAATATATGTGTCACATTTCAATTTATTTCAAAGTGGTAATGTTGTGATTTAGATTTCATGATTAGGCCTAGAGTAAAAAATAAAAGAGTATCTAGAGAATGAGGGAGAGACATTTGAGTCTAGAAGTGAACAAGCTCATTCCGTGTAGATGATAGACAAGAGAAGTGTGCGTTCCTCAAAAGTGTTGTATTCCCTAAAATAGAGAGCTTCAGTCCACTGCGGATTGATTGTAAATAGTGAGTACATATCCACCCTTGTTCTAAATGGTCTGGGAAATGCTTTGCAGGAAATTACTATTTATTTAAATTTAAAAAAGTTTTGTTTGTTTAAAATTTAGAAAGGAAATTTATTGATTTTCATTATTATTTTCTTGTGTGTTTAATAAATTGTTTTCAATCTTTAATTAAATTTTATTATAAAAAGGCACCTGATCAGCTGTATTCAGGTTCGATCAAGACCTCTGGGGCTCTGTTTCTCACAAAAAGGATTCAGAGTTGGGCCCGTCTTATTGAATCAAGAACAGATCGTGACATATGTAAGTAATATAAGTTATTAACTAATACAAAATAATAACAACTATTATAGCGAATTTTTTAAATATTTTTTTTCAATATAGAAAATAAAATAAAAAATAGAATGTATTTTAATACTATCTCTTTCTGTTGTCATCTTCTTGGGTCTTTCATCAATTTGTCATATTAGAAGTTGTTAACTTCTAATGACATTTGCTAGTTGGAAGAATACTTCAAATATATGAACCCCCATGAAACATGTGAATGTGAAATGATCCTCAGGGATGCAAGAATATCACTAACTGCTATAAAAATAATTTCATTGGTTGCCTGAATATGTGAGGATTTTTGTCTTCTGGAGAAGTTCATAAATAACATAGAGTTTTGCTAAATCATTGATCTCTTGCAGAGTGTTTTTACCATAAAGAATCATTAACGTTGAATGGACATCGGGTTGAAAACCCAAATTTGTGCTCATGCTCGATATTGAACCTCTTTCATCTGACATCATTATCAGATCACACTGTAAAATGTCCGCTTTGAGAGTATATAAGTGATGTGGACTGGAAGGTTCGTACAAACGACATTGTAATGAGATACTATTGTGCCCAATTGACAGATTTGTACTCGAAGCTGTAAACTCAACGCTTTTTGAGTATAGTGCCATTGTGAAATAAATATGACTTTCTAGGGCTAACGGTTTCAAAGCACATTGTTTAACATAGAGAAATGTGTCATCTTCAGGGAACACATCTAAACCAATCTTTCTCATTTTTTCTACAAGATCACTTAAATTAAGCATTTGTCCTACTATCCCTTCTAACAAGTGTGTTGAATAACCCTCTATATTGTTTAAACATATTTTGTCATCGGATATTTTAAATTCATATTTTAAATGTTGACCTACTAGAATCAGTTTTGTTTCTTCTTCCTCACATGGCGTGAGTGTCCAGTTTTTATAAGGAAGTTCGTGGAAACGTAAAGTAAACATTGTAATAGGACCCAATTTTCCTAATTTAAACTCCACTATGTAACGCAGTCTATCATGTGTTACTTCATGAACATGTTCAGTTGACCAGATATTTTTCTCCCTGTCCCAGATTGCTGGTTGTGGCTTCATAAACCAAAATACATCTTGTCTAAGGGAAATTTTAACTAGGACACATTTTTCTTTATTTATTTCATTCTCATACTCCTCATCATCATCGTAAAAGTCTTTTTCTTGCTCTTCTTCATATTTAACTTCAACATCACTTATTTGATATTCTCTAACATCCCTTAGATGAAAATAATTATCTTTTTGTTCAAAATAAGAACCGACATCATTAGAACTTTCGACTGCACAAAAGAAATTTTCTCTTTTCAGTGTATACGGGCCAACTTGACTTTGAACAAAATTTCCTACTTGTAACATACAGATGTCTTCTGCATGTTGAAATAATTCAATATAGTATACACCACAGAATGAGTGATATTTTCTTAAATTGACCTCTTTTGGTTCTAATTTGATTGTGAGTGAATTAACAATTTGTTGGTAGCGTTCCTCTTCACGCTGAGCAAAAATATGAGTAGCTGAAAACATTTCCTGTTTGGCCTGAGCTGTTAGTGTGACAGCATTGTCACTTTCTTTAACAAGATCTCGAATGGTTCTGAAGTCTTTCAGGATCGCTTCATCTTGTTTATCTTCTGAATTAAATAAGAGGTCCATGAAAGTCAAAGATCTTGTTACCACCATCTCTGGGTCTTGCCAAGCTAAAAGATCTAGATCTGTGCATGACCATCGTTCAAATCTTTTATCTTCTTTAGTATGTACAACACTGTAATCAGAATTTTCAAATATCATACTGTATGTTTTGTCACTACTGAACCTATTAGGATTTTTTGACATTTTTCTCCCTGTTTTGCCTTCTATTTTGCTCTCCCAAGGTAGAGCACCCTTCTTGCTTGTTTCTACAGAATATAATGAATCGCTATCATATTTACCATAACTAACAGTCGATCTCATTTTATGTGGACCAGGTCTTATAGAATTTGATCTTAATGAATACTGTTCCATTGAAAACAAACTATCTTTCGATTGGAATATCTGTTTAAATAATGAAGTATTTGCATCTGACACTACCGAGGCTCTACTATCAAATTCGGTATGTGAGAGTACTTTTTCAGATGGTAATGATTCACTTTTTCCTTTCTCAATTTCAGAAATTTCTTTGTAAATCTCATCTTGCAATAGATGGATTCTCTGAAGCTCTTGTGCAAGATCGAGTGGTTTCACATGTTCTGGCTTATATTTTGATTTTGATGAATTACTAAAAAAATCAAAATTAATATAAATGACTCTAAGAACAATTGGTTTGAGATTATAAGGTACTGGGAGGCTCACAGTCACTTTCAAATTGGGAAAGTGAATTACTGGAGTCGGCCTGCGACAGTCTGATTTCATTGGTACGTTAAGCAAAGACCACATACCAATGTTGAAATTCTCAAAATTTCTAACATAATTTCTTGTATAAAAGTTTATATGGTCAAAATGTTTTGCAATCTCTTTGATTAATAAAAAGCACGCGTAATCAATTTTTTTGCAAAATTCAGATTTCCACTCTTCTATTATTTCTCTTAAACTTGTGACAATACCTGTGTACGGTCTTAAAGGTATATCCGAAATATCATCTGCAAGTTTAAAAAGGGGTAGATACAGAGAGAGATCCTTATCCACTTGTTCGATGTTAGCATATTTTGATTGGTCACACCAACATAAATAGTGTTTTCGTACGTTCATTGGCTGTTCAGGAATTGGCAGTTTGCTGCAAGAAGTATATCTTTCCCATTCTTTCAGTTGTACCAATTTTTGTAGCTTTCTTAAGCTCCTTGATTTCGCTTTCCTAAATTGCGAATATAGCTTGACTAATGTCTTTTGTCTTATTTGTCGTTTATTTAGTTCTCTCGTCTCTTTCTTTTTGTGTTCATCATCAGTTCCATTTTCTTCTGTGTGGTGAACTTTCTTACCTTTTCGACGTGTTTCAACAACTCTTGAGAGTATACTTCCCGTTGAATTATTCATATTCTTTGCTTTATACCGAAGGACAAGTACTTACAAGAGAATAAAAAATTTTTGGTCTACTATCTCTATTTACACAAAATAAAATAAAAAGAAATAAAAGTAAGTATAAATCTAAATAAAACTACATAATACTACTAATTGTGTCATGTGACTACTGAATGAATTTGAAATGCTAACATATTTTTATATTAAAATACAATTTAATTATGTTTACTCTCAAAACAATATTTGGAATTTTCTAATAAGCCTTTTTCTAATTAAAACTGTCATAAAACACTTTTGTTAAAAAGCTTCAAAATAATAAGGAAGAATACAGAAACAATTATGTAAAGAAAATAATAAACATGAACTAATTTGGCATGAATATTTATTAATTTTAAAATTGCGCAAAAATTGAACATAAATACACATTTTTTAAAAAAATTTACAATCGATATTTGCTTTGGTGCCTGAGCTTAACTAAATACATTTTTTCCAAAAACACTTTCATATAAATTTATTATGTATGCACTCTTTTCATTTGATTGCAGAAATTGCACTTGATTTTAAAAGATTTTATATGATTGGTGCATTTTTAATTGAATTTTATTTTTTATTGAAAATATACTTTTTAATAACAAGTCTTTCTTATGTGTAAAACATGCATTTTCACTAAGCTTTTTGTGTAATATTTGGTGCCAACTAATTACCAACGGTCCCACGCCAAAGTTGAAATAGGATAAATCTCTCAATTAGTAAACAGTAATATAATTAGTATATTTACCTATTATTTGTATTTACAATTTGTATAATTTATTTATAATAATATTTGCAATGTTACATTTGAACTATAAAAGTGACAGTGTACATTCAAATAATAATTTTTTTATATTTCATCGTTAACTGCGAATTGAGACATACAGAGAGCTTTTAGCAGCTGTCATAAAAAACATTCAGATTTGTAGTGTTTAAAAAATATTGCTTATGCTATTTTAAATACATTAAAAAACAGTAGACATCAATATTGCATCTTCAAAAAAGCTAGGGATATGGTTGAATTTTATTACCATTACGCAGATGTTGTCCTAGAAAAAATAACTGCTGTTAAAGCCATAAGACAATTTAATAACCATATTTTAAAGTGATTATGTGTTGCATAAGTGCATGAACAATTAAGAAATAAAATATAAACAGTGACAATTTTGTCTGTGATGTCCGAGTGGTTAAGACGTCCAACTTGTATTTGCCATGCTAGTATAGCCCATGACCTTTTAATTCAGAATCATATGAAAAAAAGGATCATAAATGGTTTGACCTCTCATCCAAGATACTGAATTTTGGATGATAAGATCTCTTGTATGATTATGTATATTGATAAATCTAAAAACACAAATATTTACTTCCAAAATGCAACTAATTATTTTATAATATTGTTGTAATATTAATTGAATTTTTATAATTAACAATTGGTTGAATATACAATTGTAAATGATATAAAATTTCTTTTTAATGAAACCTATAGCATAAATCCTTTAATAAATTAGCACTATATCTTTAAATAACAAGCAAAAACCTAAATTAATATTTATTAATTGTTCATTCATTTCATTTTGGACAATTTATATTCAAATTATAACTTGAATTTTTGAACTTAACAGAATACAACTAACAATAAGATAGGTACTTACATATTGTTGATCGATTGGTACTTTGATGAAATTTTGTTTGGATCAACTGTAAGCACTATGCCTGAATCCAACTCTCCTAGGTAGAAAAAAAGAAAATTAAAAAAAAAAAAAAAAAAAAAAGTATAGAGTGAATTTCTTGTTAATGTTAAAGTAATCTTGCCTGGCCTTTGTTGGCTTGCTTGGTCACTGAAAGAACGTTCCATTGCATCCAATGATGAAGATTCATGAAGTCTTAGATATTTTGGTCTAGAGTAAGTCTCCATGCTCTGATTTTTAAAGAAGACATTTATAGGAAGGGCAGAATAGAAGTCGGAAATAATTTGTAAGGTTGACTAACCTGGAGGAAGTTCATCGCCCTCAGTTCTCTCCTCCATTTTAAGAATACTCCGCTCAAAAGGACTGCAACCACGCATATTATAAGTATGAAAACGCCACAGGATATCACAATAATAAATGACGATGAAGACGAAGCTGAAAATAAATGGAATGTATGATTAGATTTTGGAATAAAGAAGGAAAAAAATGTTTTTTTTTTTTTTTCAATTCAGACTTTGTACATTGCCGCGATACAGCTCAATCTTTTGTCCTGATATTCTCAGATCCTTGTTGTCTAGGCCTTTTAATTGCAATTCACCCTTGAGTAAAGTATCGGCCAATTTTATCATTGCTGATGGCACCTTAGCGTCTTCACTCAGTAATTTCAATGTAATTTTGATGTTATCTAGAGAAAATTAATGATTAAAACATAACTTTGTTTGGCAAACCAGTCCTTAGCATTTGTGTAAAAAGTTCTCTCAAATAAAAAATCATCTTTAAATGTTATAAATACTTTAGTGCGGATTTATTTTTATCATGTATATATTTAAAAAGCATTCATTTATATTATGACCAGGTCATTTACAGTTCTCACCATTTTCATTATTTACTTCAAGATCAGTTTCATTGGACAATTTTACATTTTCAACCAACTGCTGTTTTATTTTATTTTCGAACTCTGTTTTCTTGTATCCTATTGTTTTATTAAAGTTTTCATTAATGCTGAAAAATATATATATTTTTTTAAAATTTTACATATAAAATTAAAAACTCAAATCTTGACAGCCTTACGTAAACGTTGCTATGTATGTAACATTTTCTCTCAGTGTTGTCATATGCAATGGTGTTAATGTTGGTGCTACAATTGTTGTTACCATTTCTGTGGTTATATTTAATTTATTTGAGGCCACTGTTTGTACAGTTTCTGTATGTGGAATAGTGTTGACGGTAACAGCTTTTGGTTTTGCCGGTGGGTTTACTGTAGTCATGGTTGTTGTCTCTTTTTCTGCTTCTATTGTGGGAACAACTGTCAAATTAACTGCAATATTTGGAGAACCTGTTGTTTCTATCTGACTGTTCAGTTTGAATAATCTGCAGCAAAAAGAATGATATGATCTTTAGCTTTCAGAAATAGCTTAAAATTATTCGTACGCGTAAATTCCTTGTAAAGGGCAGTTACATTCCCTAGCTATTCTATTTTCGACCATTATAAGCTTTAATGTTTTACAAAGAGATGTCCATCCAGTTGTATTTGCCCATGAAAAACACTAAAAAATAAAATATGAATGATAATGTGAAATTTAAAATTAAACTGCAAATTACTTTGGTTGAATTTGCTTCATCAGGCGGTATTTCTGGCCAAAGAAAAATTGTTGATCGTCCAGTTATATTTTCAGTATCTTTTATCACTATATCACCAGTATATCTGAATACCTTATTGATATAAACCCCACTTGCCCTGAAATAGAATAACTTTCAAATTATATGAAAATTTTATTTGAATAGGTTGAATAGGTCTACAGGATGATAACTCAATTACCTAACCATGTGTGTTTCTGAAGAATTATTCCAAAGGTCTGAGGAAAAATTGTAAGGTAAAAATATTTCACCCAAACAAACACCATCTGTGTAATTGTTCTTTTTGAACAAATTCTTTGGAAGAGTGCTCTGAAATGTTTATTAGTATTCTGTACATGCTATCATACGAGTTTTCACAAAGAATATATTATTATAATTTCTTGTAAATAACTTTTGTTACAATTCAATTCGTTCAAAAAACGTTATTAAAAAGTTTTTTAAGTATTAAAAAAAGTTATTACCTGGCCAACTTTGCAATCACTTCCACAGTCTGTGTATTGTCTTATTGTATTTTTGTTGAGTTTTACAGCCCTCAGTTTAATCGTTGAATCTGGACACAATTTTATTTTTGAACACTCAGTGTGAATTATTTCAAGTTATTGGGTTGTCCGGAAAATAATGCAGGATTTTAAGTTTTCATTAAAAAAAATCTATATAAAATATTCTGTTTACGTTTACAGGAATGTCAACACTTATTAATCCTCTTCCAAATGATATTGTTTGTTTACCTCTGTAGCATTCCGCTACTTGGAAATAATTCAGTCATCCTTATAATGTCAAAGCGAGAATTTCGTACGATTTTCTTTTACGAGTTTAAACTCGGCCGAAGCGGAGCCCAAACGGCTAGAAACATTAACCAAGTCTGGGGCGAGGGTTGTGTTAATGAGTGCACTGTGCAAAGGTGGTTTAAAAAATTTCGGGAGGGAGATTTCAGCCTTGAAGATGAAGAAGGTCGTGGAAGGCCTTCCTCTCTTAATGATGATGTTCTGCGATCAGTGGTGGAAGAAAACCCCAAAACAACTGTTCGAGAACTTGCAGAGCAACTCAAAGTCAGTAAAACGACCGTCGCTGACCACCTCAAGGCGATTGGAAAAGTGAAAAAACTCGAAAATTGGGTTCCACACTCATTAAACGATCGCCAAAAAAATCAGCGCTTTGATGTTTGTGCATCACTTCTTTGTCGAAACAAAAATGACCCATTTCTGGCCAGAATTGTTACATGTGACGAAAAGTGGATTCTCTACGATAACACTAGACGTTCTGGACAGTGGCTCGACAAAGGAGAAGCTCCAAAGCCCCCAACTCATCAAAAAAAGGTAATGGTTACGGTATGGTGGGCTTCATTTGGTTTAATACACTACAGCTTCTTAAATCCTGGCGAAACCATCAATGCTGAATCATACTGTAACCAAATTAATACCATGCATCAGAAATTGGCAGTAATGAAGCCCTCTTTGGTCAATCGGAAAGGGCCCATTTTGTTGCATGACAACGCTCGACCACATGTGTCACGTGTAACGTCACAAAAATTATTGGAGCTTGGCTATGAAACTTTGCCTCACCCACCCTACTCTCCGGACCTCTCGCCTACTGACTACCATTTTTTTAGACACCTGGACCACTACTTACAACACATAATATTCAAAAATCAAACGGAACTGGAAAATGCATTTATTGACTTTATCAATTCTAAAAATTCTGAATTCTACTCAGACGGAATTAATAAGTTACCAACACGTTGGGAGAAATGTATTGAGAGTATGGGAAATTATTTTGATTAAAGAACATTGCTTTAAAGTAACTAGTTTCTTTTTTTTTGTTTAATACCAAAATCCTGCATTATTTTCCGGACAACCCAATACATACTAACACCTACTCATTTGAAGCGGTGTTGATGTTACTGCGTTGCACAATTGGCTGAGATCGTCAGGAAGTCTATTTATGATGGTTTCCTTTTGTTTCAACATTTCTGTTTTATTGTTTAATTTTTGTATATCCCAAATTGATGCTTCTAACAATACTTCAATCTAAAAATTGGTTATTTTTACTTGTGCTAAGTCATTGACAAATACTGATGTGAAAGTATAATATTAAAGAAGTTGGTGGTTTTACACCTACAATCTTTTTATTTATTTTTTTCTTACTGTTTTTTTATCTGAAATTTTCTTGGGTTCTCTTTCCACCTGCCGCTTTGCTCTTGGCTCCACTTTCATTACAGCAGACTGCACCAGGTTGTCTTAAAACAGTGTTTTGAATATTTTAACAATAATTGCTAAATACATTAATTTACATACGGTCACATTAAAGTAATTTATGTTTGTGGGGGCTTATTCTAATTTGCATTTTGTAACTATGTACTATTATTTGAAAGATGATCAGAAAGGATCATGTTAAAGATTCATTAACCAGCATACTACAGGAGGAAATCTCATGATTTTTCTTTTTTCAACAGGCTGGCAACTGACTCCTCATGTGTTTTCTACCTCATGTTTTGACTTCTTTCCCATGTTAATTGAGTAACATTGTTTTCTCTCATAAAATATTTAACCGCCGGTGGCAAGGTTTAAGCAACACATTTAAAACAAACATTCATACTAACGTATACCTAATATAAGTTAGATGGTACTCAATATTCCACAGAGATCCCACCCTTATTTACACTAATAAATACATTCATACAAAACTTAATCTTTTACATAGTACATACAGTTGAATAATTGTTGAGTCACCAGGGTATTTGGTATTACACCATTTGCCTCGCCGCCATTTGCTCTATACACTTACAGCAACGTAACATTTTATGGTGGCTTTGTATTCCACCACAAACCCACCCACCCATACTTAAACACTCAAGCTGATATATGCATTCATACAAAAATGAAACCTTTCAAACAGTATATATAGTTAAAAGAAATAATGAGCCATCAGGGTTTTGATTTTTTATGCCAGTGCCTCACCACCATGCGCTCTATAGACAACAAACCTATTTTGGTGGATCTGTGAGGTATTCTATATTTTGCCACAACCCAATCACACACTCAAAACACTTAAGCTAATATACACATTTATTGGCAGAAAGAATTGGCAAGCCATCGGGTATGTTGTATTACGCTGGTGTGTCACAACCACTCACTCTACGGACTTATAACAACCTACTTTGGTGGGTCTGTGAGATTCCCTATATTCCACCCCAAACCCACCCATACATACCCAAAATACTCAAGCTAATATATACATTTACTTAACAATTACTCCACATGAAATAGAATTTTAATGCAACCATATGCATTTATAGACTTCAAATCAATTTCTTGCTGCAATCAGCTGTGTTTCAAAAGCTCTTTGATACTCGAGAATAGGCAATACATTTTATTTATTATTATTTGAGCAATACTGAATAAATCATTTTTTTATTTCTTGAAATAATAAATTTGTTAATTTAAACAATTACTTATGTACGTAATTATTAAAATGTACTGTTTATTTTCAAGGAAAAATATGAGTTAAAAAAAGTATAAATGACCTTATAAAATAATTGTTACCTTTTTTATATGTATTTTGGTAGAATGTGACATACTTCGGTAGAGATAGTTAAGTGTCTCATACGAACTTTAAATTTAAAATGTGTACCTGTTTTCTTTTTAAAAGCAGCTTGTATTTTGTCTCTAAATGTAATAATTTTTTCCCTCGATTCATCTGAAGTTTCCATCATGTCAACAATTTTCATAGAGCTCTGGAGCAAATCTAAGGCATCATTGACTTTTGAAATGTCTTTCTGTAATCTGTCAAGTCTGTTAATTTTTAGCTGGATTCTTTATTTAATTACTAAATGTGTTAATTACAATAAGCCCATTTTGTCTATTGTCTCATGAAGTATTTGATTCATTACTGTTGTTATGTTTCTATAAGTTTCTTCATTTGGCTTTGAACTTTCTGTAAGCGTTTTTGCATTCCCTACAGCAAATTCGTGGAAGCCACTTTTGATTGCAGTTTTGTAAGAATCAAGTACATTTCTAAAATCAGGGAATCATGATAATTTATAAAGTTTAAAATTTGATATGATGATGATAATTAAAAAAAATAAATAAATAAATAAAAAAAATATATATACAGGGTGAATTGCTACTCGTGCTACAAACTTCTCCAGTAGATTCTTCACCCTAAAATGAACAAAAAAGTTCATATTGTCCATGGTCCGATTCTCAACCATTTCAGAGTAATTTCGCTTTTTATCGATTTTGAAAGATATCACGTCCTGGCGTCGGAAAATCGTGATATCTTTTAATCTAAACATTTCTCTGAAAATCTAATAGCACCGTTGAAATTCCCGTTAATTTTTCAATAAGAAGATGACGGTGGCAAAATGTTTGGGCTAATTTTTTGTGTTTTATTTCAGCCAGAACTACAAAAAGAGTGGAAAATTGTGTAAATCGGAAAGTGTATAAAGTAATCCAGAGTTTCTAATTTTAGTCTCAGAAGGCAGCAAATTTGAGGAAAACTACCTGATTTAATAACGCTTCCAACGCACTCGTCATTTTCTTATTTAGTGGTTGTGAGACCAAGATGTTGATGACAAAAAGAGAAAAAATGGTGGTTCAAGGATTGCTAATGTTTGAGAGTGACTTGCTACTCGTGCTACAAACTTCACCAGTAGATTCTTGACCCTAAAATGAACAAAAAAGTTCATATTGACCATGGTCCGATTCTCAACCATTTCAGAGTAATTTCGCTTTTTATCGATTTTGAAAGATATCACGTCCTGGCGTCGGAAAATCGTGATATCTTTTAATCTAAACATTTCTCTTAAAATCTATAAGCACCGTTGAAATCCCCGTTAATTTTTCAATAAGAAGATGAAGGTGTAGTTCTGGCTGAAATAAAACACAAAAAATTAGCCCAAACATTTTGCCACCGTCATCTTCTTATTGAAAAATTAACGGGAATTTCAACGGTGCTATTAGATTTTCAGAGAAATGTTTAGATTAAAAGATATCACGATTTTCCGACGCCAGGACGTGATATCTTTCAAAATCTTTAAAAAGCGAAATTACTCTGAAATGGTTGAGAATCGGACCATGGACAATATGAACTTTTTTGTTCATTTTAGGGTGAAGAATCTACTGGAGAAGTTTGTAGCACGAGTAGCAATTCACCCTGTATATATATATATATATATATTGCACAAAAAATATTCATATTCATTGACAAAATACTTACTTTGTTGCAACTGGATCTATTGTTTCTCCATGAACGTTAATCTCCGATCCAGTAACAGTCCTGCAGATTTTTCCTATCTGACATACCTTAACAAAAGGCTTTACTTGCCCTTTATAAAATACAATGATATTTGAGTAAAAATGATGTAAATATATTAAATATATTAAACCGTTTTACAAAATTACCAGGTAATAAATATATTGCTGCCGAAGGGTCCAGTTTCTTTTCCAAATAGTAATAGGTATCTTTAAAAATATATCCATAGTCATAAATTGTGTTCTCCTCTGCCATATGCTTTACATTGAGTTTGAACAGTGTAATTAATGCAGACCCCATTAACGGTGTTACCTAGAAATTGACGCATTAACATTTTGTTAAACAAAAACCTACCTAAAACTGTTCTTACTTCCAAGTCACCAGTTTTGACTGGTTCTTTAAGTGGGACACTGAAAATAATGTAACTTTGGGAAAGAGCACCACAGTTTACAGAAAACCTGAATTTATATTTGGCACCAAATTTCAGAATTTTCTCTGGCAGTTTGAAGGAGTAGTCTTTGTTTATTGGGTTTAATGGCGTCCCTTCAACTTTTTCTGGGCTAAACTGGTAGGCAAATCATGTAATTACATATTTTGAAGCATTTTGGAAAAGTCAACAAGGCATAGCTTAATAGGTTGATCATCTCCGATCATCCGGTCTGATTATTCACACTGGTATTGTTGGACAGATGCATTTTGGCATTTTGTCAACTTAAATGGTCAGTTTCTCTAATAAATTGGACAAACTAACCAGTTAAGAGTATGAAATGTTGATATGCGCCTGACAGACGAAAACCATTCTAAGAAGATTGAAGATGATGAAGGTATAAATGAAAAAACACCCTAGAGTAAAATTTACTTACAATTTCTTTAAGATCGATGTAAGTGTAATTATTGGCCATAAGAGTACCAACTGAAACTTCACAAGAACCGATGACATCTGAAATTCTCAGGTTGACTTTTATATTAGTGTCAATTTTAATATTCTTCAATGATAAAAATGGCGGTTCCCCAAATATGACCCTCAGTTGTACAATTTTAGCTGAAGAAGTTCCATTCATTGTTTTTTTAATTTCAATTGCATATCTGAAAATATTGAAACTTAGACACACAAAAAAAACTAGTGATTGTTATTAATGTTTATTACTAACCTCCCAACAGGAAGCATTCCTCTTGGGATGAATAATAAAGAATCATCTATGGTACCAACAGTTTCAATAGGCTTGGGATCTTTTCCGGCTGTCCTACATTCTTTCCCTAATTCCGTGAAGCATTGCCACAAGAACTATAAAAACAATTTCAATTAAGGACAAGTTTTAAAATTCTGTTTTCTTTTTACCTTTCTTTCCCCATGGTTATTGATTGGTATTTCAATGTTGTGACCAGTACCAACTACAATTTGATCTATATATGTTGGTGGATTGAATTCATCCATTTCAAATTTCACGCTGATTTTATCCTAATGAAATGTTGTTTTATGTCAACAATTAATATGAAATGTGAACAATTTTTCTTACTTGATATACGATTTTGTCTTTGTTGAGTAGTTCGACTATAATTGAACGTAACTTATTGTTTTGGTCGCTAGCTTTTATGTATAACTTTGACCCTTCTTGTAATAGTTCTTTATTTTCTCCTGTTTTCCACATGACCTACGATTATAAGTTGTGAAGTCTGAATATAATTCAGTTTGTGAAGAACCTGTGGCTCGATCATATCAGATCATTCTATTCTGTGAGTTAGTGGTTGGCTTATGCACTGTCTTTTTGTATTTCTATTCCTTCTCATTTTAAAACTGACATACATAAGCAAACAAGAATAGACTGATGAGAATGATCAGAGATTATTAAGATATTACTTAATGTTATAAGTGCAGATTTATCAGCAAAGATTTTGAAATTACCATCAAGTTCTCTTTCTCCTGGCAAATAATTTGAGCCTCAAACATTATGTCTGTTCTTGAGTCTACCTTGTTTACTCCTTGAATATACACAAGAGGGGATTTATGTTTAGATACAGTTATACTTTTAGAAAACTTCATTAAATCTCCGTTTGAATTTCTAGACAATGCTTTCAACTCATATTCTGTATCCTGCATCAACTGAACAAAACAATATTTTAATTATTCGCATAAAAATAAGAATATAATTGACTCACAAGGCTTGTATTTATGGAAATCTGTTTAGTGTTGTCCCATTGACTTCGTTTTTCCCTTATATTTCTCCACAACAGAAGGTTCATCCTTTGAAGGCTTCCTGGAGAGGCTTGTCCAAGGAATTTATTAGTATATGCAATCGACCAGTTAGCGGCACTTTCATCTCCAGTCAATTTGTATTTAACTGTTTCATCACGACAGACTTTCGAAGGGCCGGCAATAATGGATTTTTCATCTACCTTGAAATCAGTTTGAATTCAAAAATTATTAGAGAGAATTTGTACACATTATGTATTTACATACTTTCAAATCATCCAAAATGGTGGTGTAAGCTTTTGTGTTAGACAAGCTGATTGTCAAATGTTGGCCTTTTTTAATTTTTGAATCCTGGCCAAGATTAATTCTAAATTCATTAGCTGCGATTTCACAAGTGGCTCCTGTAAATATATTGTATGAATTTATTAAATTTTTTATAATAATTGTATTGTATTTGGTATAAAACTCATTAAAAAAAATTTTTTTTTTGAATGCCTGGTACTGAAAATATTTCTCTTTGCATATAAAATGAACCATTAAGTACAAGATACTAAGGTGTTTTTCACCATGCAGCCCTCATTCAATTCACTGATTTTTTATAATTAGTTTGTAATTTATAAACCTGTCTTTAAAAAAAACCTTTTCCTATTGGTGGTTGTCCTTTTAAATTGTTGCAGTTCAAAGTGGTTGGAATGTTACGGTCAAAAACTATTGAAATCTGGTTGCCTTTATGCTTTGTTTTGATCACCTTTGGGTCTGGCGCAAAAACTGAAATTTTAATTGTTTGAGCTGTATCCCTTAAAAAAAACAAAACACAAAAAGTTAAACTTCAAAAATTAAAAACAAAAAAGAAAAAGGATAACGTTTAATTACTTAAAAATAATTCAATTAATTATTCTTTTTAGGTAAGGTCTTGGTTGAGATGAAAAAGTTAGCATCACGAGCGGGATTTGAATCCACGACCTTCAGTTTCGAATCCTACATGACAATAACTTTTTCATCTCAACCAAGACCATACATAAAAAGAATAATTAATTGAAATAAGTAATTTGGTCAATTAGATCACTAAATATAAATGGATTAATTTTTAATTACATTGAGCTTTCAGTATAAGCCAAACCGAACTCCATATCGGATGGGCCTGTGGGCCAAATTCCTTCACAGTACACTTCTGATGACAATGAGTTACCCTGAATGTCATTTGTCCAGTACTTATATACAATCTGGCCATCCTGCTTTCCAAAACAGACCAAGTCGGTGAGGGCATATAAGTTTGTGACTCTCATCATTATCTATATTAAACAAAAAGAAGGGACACCTTTGTAGACACATTAGCATTTGTAAGCTAAAATATTAAATTAAAAAAGGCTTATAATTGATGAAGTTTTAAAATGAGGTATTTTTATATATAGAAATTTTAATATACAGACATAGTAATAAATTTTGGTACAAATTGTATTATTATCTGTTAATCTTTTGCAATAAGGATTAAGCATTTTAATTTAATACTGTACACAAACGTTTATTTTAAAGTTGACCATATCTTCTCATTTTACAACATTCTTAACCTAGAAACTTCAAAAATAGGAAATAAAATCTTTGCGTTTTTCATTGACTTTTTATTTTTGTTTTATTTTATTATTATTATTTTTTTTACGGGAGTATTTCAACTACAGGTTGTATGAATCCTCGGGAAGGTACTGTTTTTGAAGAAAGCCCATTTTTAAGTATGTTGTGTTGGAATGCAGGGCTGCTGGGTTCAAACTCGGGATCTTTATCTTACAGTGATGAGCTCTGTGTCAACACCTAAACCATTGCAGCCACTGCCCTTTGACTTGGTACACCAAAGGCTGCAAACCTCGGTTTCTCACACAAACAAGGTCAACACACTAGCAGCCTTGTTTGCTCTTTCAGGATCTGCTGTTAAAATTAATAATATGGTCTTGCATAGTTCCCTGTTCAGTGTAGCATTAGACAGGGATGCATCCTCAGCCCCCTGTTGTTTTCCCTCTTTATAAACAACCTTCCTGTTGACCCAGGCTTTGGTATTCATTCCTCTAATTTATTAATGAAATGTCTTCTCTACGCTGATGATGTAGTCATCCTGGTTAGTTAGGCTCCTGCTTATTTACAGAGGAACATTGTTGATTGGAAAGTTATTGGTCTTAATGGAGCCTTTCTCTCAATTTAAGCAAATAAAAATCATGTTTTTTTTTTGTATGGAAGGAAGGCTGGCACTTATGATACTGGTCCTTCCAGGGTAAATGAATTGAAGTTGTGAAGGAGAACTAATATCTGGGGGGGTCATCTTAATGCCAACTCTCTCTGACTCCTCATCTTAAAAGGAAAATTCACCTCTCCAAGTTCGTGATTAATTCGGTTTGGTCCAGTCTGCTTTCAAACCCCTTTTTCCTACCCAATTTGAAGTTTAAGGTATTTAAGGCAGTAGTTTCAAGAGCCTTTTTAATAGAAAAACTCAACTTTTTAACCTGTACAAAGCTGATGGGTTTTACTAAGATTGCACTTTAGTGACAAGTAGAGAGCTTGTGAAACAATTTAATTATTAGTTTATTTTCATTTTAGTTTTATGTTGAAGAGCCTTATGAGTGTTTGTTTTTGTTCTACGTATTGCACCAACGTTTTCTCATATGTATCATATATTTCAAATATCCTGGTTTTCAAATGAATTCTCCAGTCCAGCAGACGGTTTTACAATCACTGCTGTATTAAGAACTTTTTATTTATTATTATGTTCTATTTTTGTCAATAAAGTTCTTTCTTCAATCATTCAAATAAAATTCATTACTAATCATAAGTCAGCTCAAATATAATTAGAATTACATGACCAACCAAAACAGGGGGATACGAAACAGTCACCCTCAACTGGGTTCTGGCACACACAGGAATTGAAATGCCAAAATGATTATAGTACAGTTCTGATGGATAGGAATCAGAGAAATTAATTGAATATAACAATAGATATAGGTAGTTGAAAAATTTTCAAGCAAGATTTGAACAGGTTTTTTACATCCAGACACTCAGATGTCTCAAAGAGATCGCTGTCATTAAACACAGTGTATATACTGTAAAAAAGCAGGAAATACATCAATACATTTACTATTAGAACTACACTTTTTAGGTTAAAATGTCATGAGATTTAAAACTAAATAAACACAACCCAATAATATGAAACATAAACTAAAAGAGGTGTGATATAAACTCTTTTTAAATTTTACTTATTTTGGATTTTGTGATCACAACTATTGGATTGTATTATGCCTTTAGTAATTGTTGTTTCTAGACAGCTCTGCACACACGTGTGTATGTATATGCACGTGCATAGCTGAGCTTATTTAAATCATTAATCAATGAATTTTTGATTTTGTAATCTGTAAAATAAAAAGTGAATGTTTATAAATTCAGTTATACAATTTTTATCTAAGGAGAATCCTGTTTGATTGTACACTTGACTATGAAATTTTTAAATATCCAAATAGTTTAGCATACCATTATTTTATCAATGGATTTTACAAAAAAAATAATCTTACCTTTGACTCTTTCCCATATTCGAGAAAATGTTTGTCAGTCGAGATAGGTTTTAATTTTGAGCTGTCTACAGCTAGCATTTCATGTCTGAATTCAACTCCTTCTGAGGTATTGCAGAATAGTTCTATTTTGCCTTCATTTTTCGCCTTCTCAAAATGAAGAACGAGGCCCCACTCTTTCTCTTCAGCTTCAACATTACCCTAATGTAAATTGTATGCTTGAGTAAAAATAAAGTTTGTAATGGAAATATATTGTAGTTCAACTGCTTGAACTATTAGGAGAAAAAAATAGTTCACAAGAGTATATTTACAATTTGTCCCCCCCCCCCAACAAAATTCTAAATTTAAAAACCTACCATATCATTGTTGCCAAACAATGCTGAACAAGTAATATCTTTGATTTTAAGTTCAGTGGCAATTATTTGTACAGTTGTTTTGGCAGAGCTTCCATTCACATCCACGACGTTAGGTTTCATTCCCAGGATCTGCATGCAGTCTCAAAATGAAAATAAAAATTAACAATAGTCATTTGTGAAATATCAAATTAGAAATAGCTACCGGATTCTTCCTCTTCGATTGTCTCAATCGAAGACTCTTTACATTCATTCGAACACCTCTGAAGTCCATAGCATACTCCACAGTTGTCCAAACCGAAATTGTCATCCTTCTCTGTCGTCCCACCCACACATTCACCGCATCTAATAAATTGTACAGAACAAAGTGAAATAAACATTGATAGTTGATATAAAAATTTGATGAAAATATTAATGAAAACATTGCATTGATTATTATTTGATCAACAGGAAGGACAGAATTTTGATCACAAAGTAGCAATAACTAATTTTATTGTCAATTATTATTTTATTAATCATATCAACATTTTTTTTAAACTCTGGCAGCAGTTTTTTAAAACAAAAAATTCTTCTTACAAATTAATATATTCTTCCTCTTCTTTGCATGACATCATGTATTTTTCTGGCTTCCATTGCAATTTGTTTGCAACATACATGTTATACCAAATAGTAGCGAAATCATTTTCAGGGCTGTCAATAAATTCGGTTAAAATGTTTGGTTTGTATTTGGTCGAGTTTCTAGCCATCCACTTTGTAGACCTAATAAGTGTTTGGTTATTATGGATTATAATTTGATTTAAAATGTACCAATTCAAAGTTGTTTTACCCGATTGATTCAATTAAAGTATTGGAATTTTCTATCTGGGTCCCTTCTAGAAGTTTTATAATCTTAGGAACCTGAAAAATAAGTAAAATGTGCTTACAAACATGTATTTTATAATCATTGATAATTTAAATTTATACTAAGGATGTTTTTTTAAATAGAAGGTTTATGACATGTTTGTGTAATTTTGATTCGTGAAATGTATTGTGTTTTGTTTATAATAGATTATACGCATTTATTTATTTTTTTAAATAAAATTAAAATATGGTATCCTACACACTCTGTTCTTGCCGTTTTCGTTTGACAGTGATGAGCTCTGTGTCAACGCCTAAACCGTTGTGGCGACCAACGCCTATAGATAACTTATTAGATTCCTTTTCTAAAAATCAGTTTATAACTTTTTGAATGACATGTGACAAGGAATGTGTTACATTTTTAGGTCTTTTTGTAGATTCCAAATTGAAGTGGTGTGCAAGATCAGTTTATTTTATATAAATTGTAAAACAAAGTCAATATTGAGGTTGTGGGACTATTATATACGATGCTATTCCAAGGGTCTGTTATATAGAGTATTGAGTTTTATGGTAATGAAAATTTTGTCATAAAAATTATAAAATTTCAAAAAAGAGCAATTAGGAATATCTATAATAAGATAAGACAAGAACATTGCAATCCTGTTTTTACAGCATTGAAATCAATACAAATTCTGGTTCTACTTTCTATTCTGTGTATGTGCCTTCTTAGGAGGCAGTGTCCTGTCAGTAGTCCAACCAGAATACTGGTTCAGTTTTGGCTGTCATCCAATAATTCCCTTGTTAGTTTTGCAGATGGCCGTTTTATGAATCTATTCACGTGCCTCATGTCTGGGGTATTATTCCATGTATAAGAATAAAAATAAATAACATAGCCTACCAAATTAGAAAAAAAAATCATCCAAAGAATACTGTTCAAGAATATGTAGCACACATAGAAAATATTCTATTAACTATTTCATTTGTATGTTCAAAAAAGGAGTTCAAACTTGAAGAGGGATTGTGGCATGGTTTCAAACGATCATTGAGAAAACTTTAAAAACTTTGATATGTTCATGATAATTATTAAAAAAATAGTTGTATAGTGCAATAATTAAACTGAATAAATTAAATTTCATTTCTAGTATGAACTGCAACAACTAATGAGTTAGGGATGGTTAGGTTAAAAAAATTGGAATTTAAGTTTAAAATAGTTTCTGATAAAAGCTTTTTGCAACACACTTTTAATGCTTTTAATGTGGCATACTGATCTCATCTAGGCTTGTATTCTTTTTAAAGTTTAAAGGTTGTTAAACAATTAGATCATGTAATTTTGAACTTTTTCATTACAGTTACTGAGCAATCAATAATAATATTAGAAAAGCTTTAATCTATATTTATTTCATGAGAAGTGTGAGGTTTGGCTAAGAATGCTGCATTAATGCTAAGAATGCTTTTTGATTTATAATTCAATAAGATTTTTGCACCCAGTTCTGCCCAGAGGTTGTAGATGTAATGTACCTTGCATTATTCAAAAAGAAACCATGTACAATAGAATGCATTAGGCTTGTCTATACAACTATGCCCTTCAAAAAATGAATTCAAAATAATCTTTTTTCGAAAAGACAAAGGCAGTAAACAAGCTTACTTTAAAGTATTCTTTTATGGTTTTGTTTTTGCTTTCAAGTATGAACAAGTTTACAAATCTTTTGTTAAATCATTTCGTTGAATTATGCTAAGGTTTATACACCTGCTACCTCATTTAGTATTTATTTTGAATAATGGTTTATTAGCACCTTATTTATTACAAAATATACAACTAGTTTCGACGCTCAATTGGTGGCATCCTTTTCAAGTGTTTTGTTGAAGCTGTAACATTAAATAAAATTAAAAAAAAAAAACTAAATATACTTTCTATTGCATTTTTCAAAAATTGGAAATACTACATATTTTACATTTAAACATTTTTTCGTTATTTTCTATTAAAAAAAATTAACTGTTCAATACTTAAAACTATTATAAAATTATTGTTATCATATTTAACAGGATATATATAAATCTTTTATTAAATACTTTTTTTTCTTATGATCTATTGCACTTATATTAAATATTTCTGTTAACTTGTATTTTTTTTATTTTTGGTGTTCAATTCCTACCAATTTGTTCTATTTTTTTGTTTATGTATTTGGGCTAATGGGAAATTCATACCTTTTTCCTTTTTTGTGGGCTTAAGCTCCCAAAAAAGGAAAAAGGTATGAAGATCAAACACGTGGTGGATTGAGATATTGGGAACGAATTGGTAGGAAATGAACACCAAAAATAAGAAAAATACAATTTAACAGAAACATGTAATTGTAAGTGCAATAGATATAAAAGAAAAAAGAAAAGTATTTAATAAAAAATTTAGACATACCTGTTATCTATGATAAAAATTATTTTATAACAGTTTTAAGTTTTGAACAGTTAAAAATTTTTTAATAGAAAATAACGAAAAAATGTTTAAATGTAAAATATGTAGTATTGCCAATTTTTGAAAAATGCATTAGAAAGTATATTAGTATTTTAAATTTTTTTAAATTATATGTTATAGCTTGAACGAAACACTTGAAATGGATGCAACCAATCGAGCGTCGAAACTAGTTGTGCATTTTATAATAAATAAGGTGCTAATAAACCGTTATTCAAAATAAAAACTTTTATATATAACTATCTTTTCATTGATCACACTAATTTATAGATGGTGAGTTGTTGGAATAAGGATATTCTATATAATTTATTAAATATAGCATACATAAAAAAATCCCAACATTATCTTCTGAAATGCTCAGACTGTGATTTATATAAATAATTAAATGAAAATACTTCAGTGCACTGGTTTGCATTTTCCTATAATAATTTGAACTGAAATTAGTAATTAAGACTGTTCCTGAATAAAAGTAAGGTTTTTACAATTATTTTATTTTTTACAAAATGCAATTACGTAATTTACGCCAAAATTGTGATAGCCTTTTTGGCCCAAGTTTTTATTTCGGAATATTCGTCAGCGTTTGCTATTTGGCAGTTTATTATCTCTGAATGAACGCTTGCGTGTTTTCGTATTGTAATGTTCCGCTGTCAAAATCAATTGAAGACATCTAGAAGGACGTCATATTGTTGAAATGAAGATATTTGATGCCCCAACTACGATAACAACTCGGGTAAAATTATTTTCCATTGTAATTTATTACATCACTCTTTTAGATTAGGAGTCGGAGATGAAAAACTTTGACTTTTGGGTGTTTTTTAAAAAATTAGTTTTAACAATTCAATCATTCATAATTTTCGAAATTCAGGTTCTTCTTCTTTAGGAAAGCGTTTATCGGTAAACTCTTAATATAAATCTAAACTAAAAACATTTCTAGGTGGGTAAATATATACAGTTGTTAATGTCGTGAAACGTTGTGACACCCGAGAGGTGGAGAACTTGTAATGGTCTGCCAGATTCACATACATTTAATGCTTGGAAAAACCGACTTATTCTACAAACAGACGACAGGAGAACAAAACCAACTCTATTTACAAACGTTGACAAAGGACATGGATGATAAAATAACGCACAGAACAACCACTAAGATGGCGGAATGCTGCCTGACAGACGAAGCTAGCGAAAGGGATCAAATTTCATGATGATAATCTCCGAGTCCATTTATTATGTTTGTACGTCGGAACTTTTACACAGTCGGACGGTGTAGATGAGTTTCATTATACAGTTGTATCTATCAAAACGTCAGACATGTACATACATCCCACATTTGTAGATCCATAGAAGAGCCTGTCTAAATTTTTAATTATGCCCATTTTTCGTTCTTTTTGTACGACACGGACTAACTTCAAGCTTGTTTGGATTGAAACGATTGGTGGTTTTGTGCAAGGTGAGTGGCCTAGTTTGATTTTCCGTTGTTGTCTGTTAATAATCTTATATGTTCTTTGCAATCTGCCTTTTTTTGCTAGTCCTGTCTGATTAATTTTCTCTGTATTATACACTGGTTCCACCATTCACGATCATTAAAAAGGGACTCGACTCAACGAAAATCACGCAGTTCCCTCACTGAACATGGCGAGAGGCCAAAACGCTTGACAGACCAGGCATAGATGGACAAAAATGATCAGAAACGATTATGGCACACCTCGAAGACTAGAAGATGTCAATCTCACAATCACAAATCTTGCTTGAACTTAGCAGCTTTTGCCAGCGCCCAAAGTCCATTTTCTGGTATCGTGCCTATCAGGAAAATAAAAAATAACCTAATAATTCAGGGGTGTATGGTTTTTTCCGAATTACAGTAATTTTGGTTGGCCTGTCAGAGGAGTTTCAGCCTCTCGCTATCTTGAGTTGATTTACAGAGGTACAGAGCAATACAATATAGCAAGGATAGGCGGACAAAAATTATCGTAAATCGATCAAAATACAGTTTCAACACTACACAGGCCGTAATGTCAATCTCAGTTTTAACTTAGCAGCTTTTGTAGAAACACGAAATCTACCCTCTGCAGCTAGCAGGATGATAGAAAACATTTCTTTTTTTTGTTAAGTCAGATATGTGTTTCGGTTTCTCGCAATCTTTGGTAGATCACCAGAGCCCAGACGGGTGATTTTGCCGGAACATCTACCAACTCAATATCGTGCTTGACAGAAAATTAAAAAACAACCAACCGCTTATTGATATACAAGTTGGCCTTTTTCGAATTCCAAAATTTTGGTAGGTCTGTCGTCACTGTTTTGCCCTGCCAGAGACGTTTTGGGATCTCGTCATTACCGACAGGGCTGAAACATTACAGATTCAATACCTAGCAGACAGTAAGATGGAAGTCTCACAATAACAACTTTAGCTGAACCTGAACCTAGTAGCTTTTGCAGAAACACAAAATCTAACCTCTCTAGCGAGCAGGATAAGACAAAAACCATTTACTAGCAAATTAATAGAAATTATAAAAGGTGGAGTGAGCATGTTGTTTAATCTCTTTAAAAGATAGTTCTTACTCAGAGTTTGTTGTTTTCAACTTTACGGATTTCAAGCTTTATACCTCATCATCAGGTTAGAGGTGTTACAAGCACGTCCCTCGACATGAATTATAAGAGTGACTGTTGACTCTTGACTGGAGTTGACTCTCCTATAAGATCTTATAACTAAAAATTTTGTTTGGACTTAGCAGCTTAATAAAAGGAAAAGAAAAACAACCAAATTCAGGGATAAATAATTAGGTCTTTACGAATTACAATAATTTTTGTTAGTCTATGCTCGCTGTTTTGGTCTGTCTTAAGCGTCTCGGTTTTCATAGAATCCCATAAGCAATAGGATAGACAGACAAAAATGATCGGAAATGATCGGTTTATCAGTCAGCAGACCTCTAGATGAAATCTTACAGTTCAGGGATGGTTGACGTGTTCTAGCTTTCTTGGTTGTCTACTAGGGCTGTGCCTTTGTTAATGACGGGTCAAAACAAAAGGTAAGAAATGTTAAATTGGTATCTTTACAAAAATCCTACAGTATAAAAAATGCAAGGAAGTTAGTTACAGTAGTTTGTTAAGATATTTTCTTCTACAAATTCTGAAATGATGTTGGAAAAATTGGAATTGTAAAATAGTACATTTTTCATAAGTGGATTTAATATCGGTACTTAATATTTTGATTATATTTTCTGTAAGATAATTTCCTAAAGAAGGTGATGTTTTAGGCATTCTGTCCGTTGTCACCCCATGGACGATTCTGCGATTAATCGGATAAATAATTCATTGCGAATCAAAGAAGTCTATTGTATTCACTCCTGGCTGGTGTGCAAATCAGATAAATGAGCAAGGGTTTCCGGTCGTTACGGATATTGAATTTTATGTTATAAAACAGAGAATTTGTGTTCAAGGTTTTGGTAGTGGGTATATTTAGGCATATGTAGTACAAAATTGTTATACAATGATATCTATATATGACATCTAAGATAGATTTTTGAGTTTTGTTCAAAAGAAGAAGTTCGGCGATCGAAAGTGCACAGCAGACAAGGATGGTAGTTACGATTTAACCTAATTTGAGAAGTTACATTTACTCAAAGTAAACACATCAAAGTCACATAAGACCGTTATAATAATTGGAGGGGTTTTTACTATTTTGGTTCAACAGATATTTTTGAGTGGAATTCATGCATTTAAGTTGATTTGTGTGGTGCGTCTTTTGTCTCATTTGAGTAAGGGATATTGCGGTGTTGGGTTAGCTTGCCTTTTGATGAAAGCAATAAACATTAATCAACGCTGGACTTACTGCCAATGTGTCCTGTATAGTGAATATAAAGAAAAAGAATGCTATCAGGAGATTCATCCTCTAAAAGTGATTCCCCCAACCTTCTTTCGAGTAAAATAGTAAAACTATTCCGAAAAGCCAGCCGCGTCAGTCATCGATCCACCTGTTTGTTGTGTCGCTCGTGTCCCATAGTGACCGCCGCAGAAGAAAAAAGACAGAGCTGTGGCGGCAGGTCAAAAATGCATTTATCCTCGTGAAGATTTTTACGGTAATAACGACAAAAAATGTGTATTTTTTTACTTTAAAAAAATAAAAAATGAAGATTTTTGAGATTCTTTATTTAATATTATTCCCACAGCCAGTGCAGTTTGCATAAATTCAACAGGCGTCCGCTTATACGTGCCTTCCGTGTTATTGTGCTTTGTGATTATTTTAAGCTTATCTCAAGAGTCTTTTTTTACTACTTACAACATTTCTTTTATTATTTAAAGTTACTATTTACTCAACATGACTTAAATTATATTTGGGTTTAACTTGGAAAGAGATTTTTAAATTAATCGTCATTAATTATTAATTGTGAGGCATATTTTGAGTCGTAAATAAGGTAAAACAGATAAAAATAATTCAAAAAGTTTATTTTTTAAAAACAAATAATAAAGCATTTAAAGAAAAATGGTGTACACTTTATATTATTTATAATAGTTGTCTAAAATAATATCGATTGGTTAGTTTGTGTTAATTTGTGTATTATTATTTATGGGTGTTTGAACTTAGAGTACTTAAAAGCAAACATTTTACAATTTACTTTTATTATAAATTTAATCGCATATTTTTTCCATTCTTCAATTGCAACAGCAACACTTGCGCCGCGTACTAGGCATCGACTTTCAAGTTCTAATAATCACAGGAGCCCATATCAAAAAGAAAATATTATAAAAATAATACATAATATAAAAGATATATATATATATATATTTTAATTACAGTACGATAAAAAAACTCATTTAAGATATATTTTATCGTAGAAATCTTCTCCTCTGCTTCATCTCAGTCCAAATTGGAAAAGCAAATCATTTGTCAGCCTCATTGCCGGCAATTGTCATTGCACAATTGAGTACAGCTTTCCACGATGCTTCGAGTCCAGGTGTTAATTTAGGGCCGAGTGCGCGTCGCAACGTTTCAAGTACAATTTCCACAATGTGCTATAATCGAATATATAAATACAAAAATTATAAGTTACTATCTAAGTCAGTGTCTTACATTGAACTGCGGACTCTTGACATTTCTTCCCTTGTGCGTCTGGCCAAGTTTAACAAGCCTCTCCTCCACAACTGACATGTCGTTCAGGTTGACTACGAGATAGTCGAGGGTTTTCATTACTAGCCTGATGTGCGGCTGGAGCGTGGTGCTGTCGAGAAGTGACTTGTTGCTCTCTTTGTGCTTTTTGAAGAAATCTTCGTACGAAGGGAATTTTTCAAACATCCTGTGTGATATAATTTCTTTTAGAATCATTTCGTACTGACGTTTATCCTTGATCGTTTCCGACCATCTTGCTCATCACGTATTGGTTTGCTATTGTGCAAATTTTATAGGTTGATTTTTTCCCCCCAATTTACATATTACATACGTATAATAAAGACTGTCAAAATATCGCGAAATAGAAACGCGTGTGACAAAACTAGCGATAACGGGCGGACCAGGATGATCGGAGACGGTCAAGCTCCCAATTTATTACCTACAGTACTCACATCAATATTTCATCTGAAGTTATTTGTTAACATAACTTCTTGAACAATGTTAAATCAAGTTTAAATTTAAAAAAATGAATCATAGGAGAAGACAATTAACAGACCAGTCTAACCGTCAAAACAAGGTCAATGATTGGCCATATGTACAAACAAAGGATTTCGCAATCGCTTAGCCAGAAATTTATATTTTCAAATCTCTAAAATATGACAAATCGTCTATGCAGAAAGCAATAAAAAAAAATCACTGTCTGTTATAGTTGTTTTACCATCCTCTACCCACCTCAAAACGGGTTGGAACGGATAAAGCGCATTGTTAACGAATGGAAAACCTGTTCACATACATTAGAATATTCTCGTAAATAAAAGACTAAATAATTTATAGGTGTTACGCATTTATAGGTGTGTATGTACATACACTGTGAATAGGACACGTCCAGCGCCGTCGAAATCTGGCTGGACCAGTTTCCATGCCTCCTGAACTTCTTGTACCTGTTCTGCTGTAGGAAGACTCTGAAACATTTATTTGTATATTTAAATAATTTTAGCACTTACTGGTAACCCAATAAATGAAGGTATTAGGTACAAGTACATTTGGCACTATACAGGGTGTACCTATACTATAGAAACAGTACGCCCATTTAATTCGGAAACGATTAACTTTAGCAAAAAATGGTCTTATACAATCCCAAGTTAATTTTTTGTTTATTCTGTTACAAAAAGCATACCCACCTCAAGCGTCTTCCGTCGGGCATAACTCAGAAATGGTCAATCTTATGGAAATTTTCCTCTCAGTAAAAATGGCATAAAATAAGCTCTAGAATCGAATTGTGCAATAAAAATATGGAATTCTTGTATAAAGTAACAAAGCTAATGTCATTTCCCAGCAAGATGAGAAAGTTATGTTAAATCTGTTGCCACCACGTGATTCCTAGCCAAAAATTAACTTGGGGTTTGTATAAGACTATTTTTTGCTAAAGTTAATCGTTTACGAATTAAATGGGTGGATTATAGAAGTTTACACCCTGTATTTGAATAAATTGGACCCAAGCTCGTAAAATTGCAGTTATGTACCATTTTCCCATGAATATACATCTATCTACTTCTTATTACAGTCTAGTAAGATTAGGAGATATTTATACATCGATGAGCATTAGTTAGGATAAAAGTACTTGTTTGTTTTAATGCATTGATGTTCTGGCTTTAAAAGAGCAGTGAGTGGTATAAACAGCTGGGGAAAAAAAATATACACATCTGTTGTCGACCTTGATTTTTTAAAATTTATTATTTTACTCTTGACTATTAAAATTGTCTTCGGTGGCAGGCTTTACTACTTCTTTATAACTTACAACGATATCGAAACGTGTTTAACAGAACCAAACAAACGATAAAACGCCGACGAGGATTATCGAAGAATCTAAATTTCACATATGAAGTTTAGAAAGAAATTTAACAGGATCATTTTTAAACAATTTAATGAAAAATGTTTACCGAAGGGGAAGAACAAAATCATTTCTTACATTGTATATACTGTACAAAATAATTTTACAACAATACTGATCATACTGTCTCATGAACTTCATGATTGCAATGATTCATGTAGACAATAAAGGTTTAACTCATACTTCATAAGATTAGGATAATATGGATAGATCCTGGTAAGCTGTCATTGGGTTGGGACTCGAAAAAGATTATTTTTTCTGCGGTGCAAATACAAACGTCTTCTCTTCTTTGTTTTGAGGCCCACGTAAACTAAGAAGACTATTTCCGTATTTATTTGACGATTCATTTACAACTCGACGTCGTACAAGTGGGCTCAAGGACGTAGTGACCCATTAGCGATCCATTATAGTCAGCCATAGGGGTCAAATTTACAGAGTGAAGTTGTAAACTGGACGGTTTGTTAGAAGGAAATATAAAATATTTGTTATATTTGAGTCATAGTGATTTATAGATATTATAGTTATAATTTGTTTTCAGCAAGTTGAACAATTGTGTTTTCTACTCACGAATACTCTTGATCACGGTATGGTCTTGATTGAAAAACAAATTCAGTTATTATCTGCTAAGTTTTCGACCTATTTTAAGGTCATAATCAGGGCAAAACAATGTCTACATATTGGCAAATTTAAATTTTTCACAGACGATTTCAAATTTCTTTGAATACCGACGCAGCTCCAACATTGCCAAGGACTGTAAGAAACATGTGAAACTGTTATAGGGTTATAGGGTTTTACATTCTGAGTAGGTTTCGTACATTTGGACTTGACGCGTGGTACAACGGTCTAATTTTTAAGCTGTTTTCTTAGTTTCCCTAGTCAGTTAATACATCTCATCCATAGCTATGGATGATGATGGTGATGAGGATCCTAGAAAGCGTGGTTTGTGTTCCCCAGGCACTGCAGCCTTCTGGCTTATTGTACCTTCCTTGTTCCCTATTCAGTGCAACCGACTGAATCCTTCTTCTCAGAAGTATTAGAACATTGACTGTTGCTGCTACAATATCATTCTCTAGGTACGCTAGGTTATATCTCCATTGAGCAGTTGCTTCGCATTCGAAGATGATGTGGCTGGCTGTTTCCTCTTCCTTATTGCACAATCTACAAATGGAAACATCATTGAATATGCTTGCGGTGTGTAGATATTTTCTCGGATTGATCACCTGCAAATAATCCTATAACCCTTCTAAGTTTAGCGTTCTCTAACTGTAGCAGTGAGTTTACCAGTCTTGGTGAGGGTTATTTTTCCATAGCTATAGCTATTTAAATAATAGAAAATTTTGTCGCAAGGTTCAGTTATTGGCCCTACATTATTTAACATCTAATTACAGAATCGTCACCATTATCATGCATTTACCAATAGCCTTACAAACATGTATTAGAGATTTCAACTGTAAAATTAAACCCAACGTTGGCAATGTCATTCACCAAGTGTCGAATAACGCGAATGTCGATAATTTTCAAAACCCATGGAAAAGCTCCGAAAATTAGGGATGCAGCTGGACTCCAAGCTGACTTGCAATCACCCCACCAACCTTGTCTTTGTCAAAACCATTGGAGCACTTACGAATTTACTACCGTTGCTTAAAAAAAAAAAAAAAATCTTTGGACTTGAACAGTAGTTGACACATTTTAACATTACAGTGGCAATGTTAAAATTGCCTAACTTCAACCAATCTAACTTCAGTAATGGAAGTTCTGGGATTACCACCGTATTATACGATAGAATACAATGCAATCGTAGAATCCAAAGTGCAAGATGAAATATAGTTAAACCTGACCAAGAGAATGCCACTATAAAATCCTAAAAATAATTAAAATATACGAGATGGCTACAGAAATATCTGACAAAACGAAATTAAACGAAACTTTTGACACTTTTAGTTGACTTCAAACTAAAAATAACAAGATATTTGGAAGGATAAAAAGCCTGAAACTACTATAAGGGCCTAATTATGGTGTACTTGGTGAGATAGGAGACCCATAATTTTGACCTAGCGAACCTAACACCACCAAGCCTGAGATACATGTAATAGAACTGTGCTCAAGAAATCCTCAAAATGACACTAAAAGGTCCACAGAAACATATTCTCAGACAGCCAAGCTGCAATAGTCTTAAGACTCCTCCACCTTCAGTCAAAGCGGGTCTAATAATGACTAAATCTCCAGCTCCAGGGAAAACGAAACAAGGTCTGTTGTGGGTATTAGGACGCTTCAGCCGTCGGGGAGGAGCACTTGGAAGGACGTGGAATGAAAGGTTTCTGACATTAGGGGCTCGATAATTGTTTGCGAAATTTCTTGCAGCGGTTTTTTGCGATTTCAAGGACATGCTGTAATAAAAAAAAAAAGAGGACATGCTCGATATTAAGGTCATTGTGAATGGCAAGACTGGATGACATAAAAAGAACCATTGACGATGGTTCGGAAAATTTAAGAATTGGATACGTTGGAGGTTGGCATGTTTTGTAGGACCTAAGTCCAAATAGGACTTAAAATATTAATACAAATTAGTCGTTTGTTTTGTAGTCAGGTTGGATTGTTGTCCAGTAATCTTTGAAGAAGTCTGAAGCGTCTATTTAGTTCTTGTCTTTTGACTGGTGCTTATGTGAATTCCATGCAAGTAGTTCGCCAGTGTTTAGGCCAAGATGGCGGACTACATTAGCTGATGGGACTATTGTAACAGATTGTAGCAGTGGTTCTGAGCTTACAAGTTCAGACTGTCTTATGAAAACTGTCATCTTCCACCGCTTGATCAACTGCTCAAGGGATGTGGCACGGGTTTGCAGGTTTCTGGTTGAGATGATGGGATCTTTATGAGAGCAAAGGATAGCGTTATTATTCGCATAGATGGTGAGAATCGTTTCAGGAATGGTAGGAATGTTTGCGATGTACACTGTGTAGAGGATGGGTTCTAAGGATTCTTCCTTGTGATTCCCTGCATCTGGGCGACCGCTGGCTGATAGAGGCACTGAAGATTTAGATTTTAGAATTTAGAATAAGGTAGTGGGTAAAATGGCGGACTCTCTTAAGCTTCCAGAGCCGCCCCGACACTTGCTTCTCATCTACGAAAACGCTCGTATAGCAGTCCTTTTGCTAAAAGCGGCAGCGATGATATCTAGATGACTGGTAAACAGAATGAAAATGTCTGAACCCAAGCCTGTAGTCAGGGATAAGGTTTCAGGATTTTTTCTAGGATTTTGCCTCAGACATTGAACGGTAAGATGGTGGAAAGTGAGGTTTTTAGGCTTTGAAGTCATTTCAATGAGGAAAGATTTTCATTGGGATGCGAAATATACTTTTCTAAGACAAAATTAAATTGGCAGGTAAGGTAAATTACAGGTTTTTTGGTAGGAGTCGAAGGATTTTTTCGTTGATCAGGTAGAAACCAGCAGTTTTTTTTAAAAAGTGGTAGTTGGTTTATGGTGTGGGATACTTCATTGGAAATGGTTTCGGCATTATTTTTAAAAATTAAAACTTCTAGTAAACATCTAGTCTCTTGAGCATATTATTTACAGTATTTAATACAAACCGGCAGATAATTTTCAATATTAAAAAAGGTAAATTTTCTGAAAAATGGCCGATAAGGGATCATTAATGATAATAAAATAATAACACTGTCAGCGTATAATAACATAAGATAGGCGTTTAAATTTTTTCCATTAAAAATAATGATTAGGAAAATAGACAAGAATAAATTGTTGCCCATTTGACAGGGAACGGATAGTCTGATTAAAGAATTGAATTTGTTGATTTGGATTTCCTTAGTCTTTCTATACACGTTTGTCATTCTTGACAAACTCATTCATCTTCATTGTCTTAAATAAAAGAGCTTATAGCACATTTATTTTAAGTTTAACAATATTTTCTGTCATATCAGGGAACGGAAATCTGGCAAAATTTAAAATTGCGTGTTAAAATCTTGTTGAAGTTCTTGCTGATTGCCAATCAGTTTATTGAATTATTAAAACTGCTGAGGATGACAATAATTATTTATAAATGACATAATAACAAATT